TTGTTGTAAATCTGTTAATTCGTCTGCTGAAGTATTATTTCAATCGCTAAAGAGAAAGCAGCGTAATGTGTATTTTTGTCTACTGTATTACGAATTCTCGGAAAATTATTCAGTATTCATACATTTCAAGTTCAACGAACAATTTGTATTTCTGGTAATTCCAATTTTGCAGCAGTACCAAGTTTACGTGACTGCTTACGTCTGATACTGAGATTCCCAAACTTATTTACCTAACCTTCTGGCCCCTTTCAAAAAAACATATCCAGCACTCATCTTCCTCTTCGAAAAATCTACCTCCTCTATGCGAACGAACCCAGATATTGGTTGGATCCTAATTCTACAGGGTGTTGCGAAATTCGACCGACAACGCTTGACAGGTGATAGTCCTCGTGATTTCATAATCACTGCGATAGGGACATACGGTCTCCAAGTATTCAGTTCTCGAGATACAGGGCGTTGAAGTTAAGAAATTAAAATAGTTTTTCCACAATATCTCGAGAAAAATTGGATATAATGCATTCAAATTCGGTATATGGTTTCATCTTTCAATGGTTCATTGTTTGACCAGACAGAAATTCCGAGAATTTTATCCAGAGGTGCGCTACAGGGGGTTTGTGAAAACTTTTCCTCTCATATTTTCTACGCCACTGATGAAATTTCGATTATTTCCAATTCCTCGAATTGATTGTTCAATTATGTTGAAAAAATGCTTCACCTTCAACTGAGCTAAAATGAACAGTTATCGAGATATTTGACCCAAAATAGAAGTTTCCATACTAATTTCCATCTTCCTCAGTAGTAGAAAAAAACAAAAATGTTTGTTTTCTTTTTATGCGTGCAATAACCATTTCTGTTCATCTACAGAATGGGATCTGAATAGTATCTAATCTACTCAACACCAGAAAAATATTTTTGCAATTTTCTACGATTGAAAATGATGAAATATCACTATGCAATCTTCTATTTTGGGTCGAATATCTCGAAAACTGTTCATTTCAGCTCAGTTGAAGGTGATTGATTTTTTGAGCAAAATTGAACAATGAATTCGAGGAATTGGAAATAGTCGAAATTCAATCAGTGGTGTTGAAAATATGGGAGGAAAAGTTGCCCCTGTTGGGCACCACTGGATAAAATGTCCGGAATGGGTTTCAGGGCCATCACCTGTCAAGCGTGTTCGGTCGAATTTCGCAACACCCTGTATATTGGGACGATATAGACATATTGGAGATATAACAACGATATCGAGAAAATCTAATTAGATATTGGGATAACGATATTCTAATATTACCCATAAAATATTGGCTCAACCCCCCGGCTCACCCTGTCCAGAGATTGGGGAGTGTATAATCTCTGCCCTGTTCCAATTTCAGATGGTCAGCTACAATAGAAGGACAATATTGGTTGAATTATTTGATAACGCAATATGTGAAAAAATATTTCCATACATGGTGTTTACGAGGTTGTTTCACAAATATCGCTCAAGCAATTGCAGTTCAAATATTCCTCTCATATCTATTCTGGAGGTTTAAATTCACATTCAAGTTTGATAGCACATATTTGTTTTGAATATTGTTCAAAGAATATTCTAAAAGTAATATCGTTTCAAAAATAAATTAAAATATATATGTAGCATTCCGAAATCAGTTTCATATCGACTTTCTAGGTGAGAAACGATATTGTATAGCATTGGCATATCAATATTTTTCTCATGTCGATTATAGAAATGAATAACAATATTGCATATCTAAGTTCTATGGAATATTGGTTGAATAGATATATTGAAAAATCAATCTTGCTGCTGGTATTCTAGCGACATTAGGTGATTGGTCAGAGGGAATGAAATATTGTAATTTTTGTTTTACTCAGTACTGATTTCAAGATTCACCAGCATTGCTTCCGAAATATTTTACGGAATACTCTTACGACAATATCGCAACATATTGACTTCCAATAATTCACCAATATTATCCGAGTGATATATTGTGTACTAATATTGACAAATGTCCACTATTTTGGGCAAACATTTCTTCTAGAATATTTCGCCGATACTGTCTGAGAATATTTTGCCAATGGTTCCATAATGGTATATTGAAAACTATTGATTTTTAAGATCATACCAATATTGCTGACTATAAAATAATAATGTAACAATATCGGCGAATGTTCACATTTTTTCCTCGCCAATATCGAACTTTCAATATTCTGCCAATATTTTTATAATATTGGACCAATATTGTCCCATATGATTGTGTGCCTCTTAAATGTTTACGTGTATACCATAGATTAACGACTCCCCCGTTAATCTATGCGTATACGGAAGACAGTAAAATATAGTTACTCTGGACTAGGGCTGTGCGAAAATATCGATACTTATATATATATATATACAGTATGATGCAAATGTATGGAATAAATTCATTATTTCAGAAATGGGCGACATTTTGAAAAATTCCAAAAACACGTGAGGTTTCATTTTTGAAGCCTCATCTCATGATATCCATATGAGAGATGTTACGTCACCGGTGTTGAAGCAATGACGTAATTAACGATTTTTTCAAATGAAAACAGGGGTCATGTGACACCTCGTTGGAAAGGTCAACTGATCGTCTATTCAACAGTCAACATTTTGCATAAGAAAATTGAAATTAAAATGGATTATCATTTGATTAACTGAATCTGGCAGAGGTCTGCTACTGAGAATTGAAAAACGAAGGGTCGTCTATTTAAAAAAATACATCAATTAATAAAGTTCTGAAGTCTAGTTTTTGGATTTTTTTCGGAAGTCGTCTTGTTTTGAAATGAATTTATTCCATACATTTGCATTATATCAATTTATCGAATAACGATATTATCGAAAATATATATTAGTTTTAATTTGAGGATGAGTATGATGAATATGGTGAGATATGTCCTTCCTGGAACTTTGCTACCTATAATGACTGTTATGCAAGTTAAAAATCTGCGAAAGTAAATGAACAACGTTATCTAATTATGTAAATTACTTATGTTGGCAAACGTTAATGACCACCTCAGAGATCATTGAAATGTCTAACTCTTATTTTCTATATGGCATCTTCTTATAACGTTACAAAATTTGGGTCACAGAAATCAACAAATGATATATCGATGATAAGTAGGTAAGACATTTCGATTTTCTTGCATAGCAAAATGGGGATTTTGAATTACATTATTCTGGGATAATCAAATTATAGATTTTGTCCTATGATGCCGTTGGGCCGTTGGCTGTTAAGTTCACTAGGTATTATTGCTATCGGTGAAAGAGATAGGTATACGTGAATTACGAGATAGTTGCCCAATCTATTATACGTTCACGGTGTTTTTTATATTTCGTAAAAATTGTCCTCAAATGAATCTTTAGTTTGAGAAAAAATGGTTTTCCTAACAAATGAATAGCCTTCGACAGGTGTATTATAGTAGATAGATCAAATAAGCATGATGGGTGTATTTCTTTTTAATCAGGTGCCGACCTCCATTTTGGTGAATGAGTTTCAGTTGAAGAGCAAATATTATGAGAAGCACTGCTAAATTTTATAGAAAATTTTATAGAAAAAGTACGGTGCGTCCATGAAGTGGCGTATAAGTTCATTATTAGCTAAATAGCTGTGTCAACAATCCGGAAGGTTGATTTTTTATTTTGATTTACTGAGAACTACTTTCGTGTGATGACGTCGACTCCAGTTTTTTTAAATGAAACATCTTTTTTTTTTCAATTACACACCAGATTTCTCGTGCTGCGCCGATTCCAAATATACAGGGTGTTTAAAAAAAACCTGACCCCCTTGCTAGGGTATGTAGAACACTGCAAAATAAGTTGGGTCTGATCAGTAAAAGAATGTCGTAACGGCATCCGTTTTCAAGATACAGGTGTAAATTTTTATCACACATTTTTCACGATTATGTCGAAACTATACTGGCAACACTGTAATTAAATTCTGTATGGATGTGTTTCGGAAGCTGATTCATCGCATGAATTTGTTTTTATATCTGATTCTCATAGAGGGCGCTAGTTACACGGTAAACTTGATTTTCTTGAGGTTAGATTTTTCAATTCATATTGAATATGAACTTGAACATCGTTCAATATTACACCAAAAAGGTACTCTTGGTAAATCTCGATACTGTGCTCCATTTTCGGAATATTTCGATTTGAAAAGATGAACTGACAACTGGGGCTGGAATAAAGCGAGGTATAAAGCTATGTATTGGAATAAGTATCATGAAAAACTATCACCTATTTATTGAAAACCGAAAACAACAATACATTTCTAATGCTGAACTTATTGATCAAACAATGAATCACAAGAATAACATTGAAACAAGTTTGACCAAAAACATGGATTACACAGTTTCTTTCTCGGTTTCGCTGGATCTTGAGCAAATAGTTCATGCTACAGAGGTAAATTCACGTCAAGAATAGTGTATATATATCACAGTAATTGCATAACTTCGTTATTGAATTTTTAATGTTCCTTTCGTTCATGTTGTAAGAATATATGCCAAATTTTGAATTGACTCGGCCGTTACTTGATGGATATCCATGGCAAATGTAAAAACTTCCTCGAAAACTTCACAAACGATAAGATTTCCACAAAATTCTTAAACACACAGAATTTTGTGGAAATCTTATCGTTTGTGAAGTTTTGACGTTTCATTAAATCAAATTTCAATGATCAATTTTTCAATTTTTGCCCAACTTTCACCAGTTTGAAGCAACGTCGTGTGATACATTTTTGGTATCAACTGATAAACAAGGGAAATTCGGAAACTGGAAATTCATCATTTTAAGAAACACTGAATTACAATCAAAGTATTGGATCGTTTCCATACTATTGTTTATTTAACTTATAATTAAGGCATGCAAATATTATAAATAAATTTGGTCTGATTATCGCAGATTGTCTACAAGACATAGCCTGCACAAATTAGTCTTGCAAACCCTGTTCGAATGTTATGATTGTAAAGTTTTTTTTTTATTTCAGGCTGAAAATAATGCAGCGGATGTCATCGTGATGACTACTATAAGATGTCTGGCGGTCTTATACTGTTACTACCAGTTTTGCAAGTTACAGAAGCTGGGATCAAAGTATATATTGGGTAAGTCCGATTCGTTTTCGAAACACTATCGGGAGCTAATAAGTCATGACGTGGTTTGAAAATGCATTATTCATTAACATTTCTTCTTCATAATGAAGTTCAAATTTTGTAGAGATTTCGTCACTTCAGGATTATAGAATAACATAGAACGCCGTCCTTTTTTGGTTTCGCAGAGAGTGCAGAATATTGCCATGTCAGTGTCGTTCTTTTATATAGGCCAAATTTCTGTGCAAATGTTTCCCACTTCTCATATGATTTGTAGAATCTGTTCGGAACTTGATGTTCACAGGTAACCCAAAGTTGAAGACTGTCTATATCGATCCTCGGTATTTACATCAGTAATATTCTTTCATGGCGAAATCATGTCCGATCCATCGCGAAAGCTGCTTCATAAGAACTCGGTTTTTTATTCCGTGCGAAGATCTTCTTTACACCTCAACAGCTTCTCATGTTCTATAGATCATATATCTTTGTATACAAAGCATAGATACGGCCAGTTTCAGAATACTGAGAACCCAAACATACGCTGATGCTCTTAGATTCCATCCAGAGAAGAGTCTTCCGTCTGGTGGGTGATGCCACATTCACTAAACCTTTGGCTTCATTAGAACACCGTAGAAAAGTCGGCTACCTTGCACTATTCTATATAGATACTTCCACGGGAAATGTTCCTGAGAAATCATTCCATCACTAGCAATACCGCTCAGAGGAACTCGACAGGCCCAGTCAGTGGTTGTCAACCTTGAAATATGTCGAACAACACTTTACCAAAACTCGTTGGTCTATAGAAGGGCAAAGCTATGGAATTCATTGCCAAAAGTTCAAAGAAGAAAGAAAGAATCCAACACCTTCCTCCCCTCCCTATCGTCCGCTTCAAGATATTTTAAAAAATGTGGAGACCGTGATGGTCAATAATGCAGATCTTCTCTGATCTGACCGTTCACATATGAATCCTGCACTGAGGAAAATTGTACTATTAGAGTTTTTTCTGAGATATTTCTTGCTATCATTACGATAAATCATATTACCCTTATACGTTTTCGAATAGAAGCAGCACCTTGAAACCCTATGATAGCAATAACGATTTTGCTGAAATTGAATTTCCTGCCACAGGAATACACAGGTATACTGCTGTCGCTATCAGGCAGCCACTCTGGGACATCATGATGTTTTTATAATTGTCTAGCTACTCTAGCTGAACTACTATTAGTGAGTTATATGCTTGTGGCTGCGAGGTTCATCGCATAGAACTGCACTCACTACCAATAATACAACTGTGAGTCTGCCTACTTATCGTTATTCGATATTCTGCTGATTTGTCCCCATCTATATAAGCATTTGTCAAACATCTTGCTTGATCAATCATTCACAGTTGGGCTCTTGATGCAAACCCATGTACATCAGGACTACAATCTCGACGACACGACAGTTACGAATACTTCATCTCTTGAATTCAATTCATTATTTAAAATCTGAATCTGAATTATGTGTCCCTTTCAGTGATTTCATAAGTCTGAGTGCTTCAGTTATTACCATCAGGATTGATGGAATGATAAAGGTGAGTTTTTTCGGGGTATTTCGACTGAAATTCAAATATTTTACATTCAACATTCCCTTCTTTTTGGTACCATGAAACTTTGAAATTGTCAAATATGTTCCAGAGCTTCTCTATAGGATGTGGTCTGAAAACTTATTGTGAGCAAAAATGTCCAGGTTATGAAATTATTTGAAAGATTTTACTGGTATAACATTTTGTTTTCCTGTACGCATCTGTAATAACTTGCCTAGTTTTCGAAATACAATGGTTTCAGAAAGTTACAGAAATATTCTTTTTTCCATCAATTACTCAAAAACCTTCTGTTTTTCCTGAGGGTGCATGAATCAATTGATCTATTCAATTTCAAAGATCATTGGTCCGAAATTTTCTTCAGAAATCAATAAATTGCGATTCATACGAAACATCAGGGTGGAAACTATGGGAAGTGAAATTGGATATCAGTCGAAATTTCACCTTTCTTGATGACAACAATCCTGGAAAATAACTGAAAAACTACAGTGAGAAGGTCATGCAACTATCTATATGATCACCCATCAAGAGTAGCACAGTTCCCTATACCTACGAGTATAACATTGCCCTACTCCCATTATTAGATGCACTCACTAGAGGTAGCAAAGTCAGATACCTACTACAGAAAGATCGTCTGATAGCAATATACAGATGCACTCGCTAGTGCCAGCAGCAGGTGTGTTATATTGTTATAATCAGCAAAGTCGACTTTATAATCACAGATAACTCGATGGTCCCTTATGCTATTAGAGTTTCTTGCTGGGGTAATTCGATTTCTGACTATGGTTAATAGGAATTTTCCTTAGTGTGGTGTTCCAAATGAAGTTTTATGAGTTTGAGAGTTTGGTGCGATATTATCGATTTTTCAAACCAGTCCGTCGTGACTCATGGGTCACCATGTATGTACTTCCTACTCGAACGGCGGAACGGTCGCCTCAAATAAATATTGTTGAACATTCTCGAAGAAAGTGAAGAGAAAATTACTCAATGTCACGGTCTTTGGGTAACACGACCTAGAGAAAGTAACTAGGTATTGCTTTTATGCTATAATAGGCTATTTCCTTGGATATTCCTGCATGTATATGTATCAATATGCACTCGTTTCACTACAGTCAGGGAAGTTGAATGGTTTCAGTCAGATTGTTGATAGGGAGGCGGAGGGGCATCAATCCACCCGCCTTACAGTTTCTATAATTCTTCATTGCATGCAATTGATTGCTCCAATTCATATTCCCAAACAAAAATAAAATATATGCTATTCAACACTCTGAATTCTGTGTATAACTTATTACAGAGTTTTGAGTAGGGTAGAAGAAACATCCAATGTGCATCTAATCATGCATAATCGAGGTGTTTTTGGAATAAGTGCATATATATGCAGCATATCAATATATAGTCTAACGAATATTCCCTAAATATAAGATGTTTCCTAATTATTCTAATTAACGAAGAATTTCATCTTGAAAATTTAACGAAAAATGCAAAAAAATCAAGTATGTCAGGAAAATGTAATTACCTAATTGAATTTCTCGTAATTGTGCCTTCCGTACAGATATTCGTACAGAGGAAATGTCAGAATTTTCACAGATTAGAATGGAAAAAGGGGTCTCGCCTGAAATTTTATTTTGATCCCATAATTTTCTTGATTGGTGTCATTCGATAGTATACGTCAAGCTTCTTTTGGGTTCAAAATATTTATATTGTGTGTGTCACGCGAATAATGCATGAAAGTCCAAAAATCTATCATTTTATCACTAGAATTGCACCAGCAATACAAATTGACGCAATATAATAGTAGTAGTAGTAGGTGGGGAGGCTGTAGTCAAGCAAGTAGGCCCCGATGGGCCCCTTCTGCTAACCCCTACTCTCCACATATCTACGCCTCCTTTACCGAATCTCCCTGACCTTCTGATCAAGGCCAGTATGTCCTCCAAAAATTTCAAATCTCAGCCTTCCGTACGCCTCGCACTCGCCGAGAAAATGGAATGACGTTTCCTCATCTTCCTACATCTGCGGCAAGTGGGGTTGTCCTCTATTCCCATAGGTGTCTGCCTAGCCTGTTCTGTCCTGTGAGTACTCCTATGAGGAGGCGGAGTACTTGACGGTCTCTGCCAAGCAGCCACTCATTCCTTGATTAACTTCGACCGGCCATGAATTCCTTGACTTGCCTGGAACATGTGATATTCCTCCAGTATTCTCCTATAGTGCCTTGTCCGCCCATTCATAGAGGGCTGGCGTACTTTGGCTCCTTGCTATACCTAGTACAGGCTCTAGTCCCAGAAACGGCTCCGCGGATCCGGCCCTAGCAAGTTCGTCTGATTTTTCGTTTCTGGGCACCCCACTGTGACCCAGGACCCATATACCAGTTCAACTTCCTTTGATTCGGCTAATATCTCAAGGGCATTTCAACATTCCTGTACCAATGCTGAGCTTGGTCTGACGCAATATAAATGGGTCCGGACCGCAATGCAACGAAAAATTGTCCAAATGATACTATAATGGCCAGACGCGCAATAAAAATTGTTGCATTTTTTTTTAATTGCGGGAAGGTGCCTCTAATGGAGCTTATAAACAAGTAGTAAGCTGCATGAGCATTTATTATTCTTCATTCAATCAATAATTTCAGTTGGTTTTGCAGAAATGGCATGTTATATTATGTTATGCTCAATGCTTCCAGATTTTCTTGTTTAGGTAGGTAAATAAAATTTTATATTTTTCGAGAGAATTCAGTCGAGAAAGTCCGAATCAATTCAAAATTTCGGACTTTTTGACTGTTTCACTAAAGTCATGACTCATTCCAACCTCGCATTACAGGCATCATCTGCTAGAATGGGGGGCAATGGCCCAATTTATGCAAAATTCTTGTAGAAATAAATGAAAACGAATTAATTTACTTTGGTGAGCTTGCGCTTGAGATGCAAAACTTTCAGGTTTCTAGAATATCACAATACCTATAGTATCCTGGTAATGTCAATGTTCAACTGACAATTGTTGAGTTGACCTAGAATCTCAAGCCTATGACAAAACATTCACGATAACAACGTAGAATATGAATCTCTTTTTAGTATTGAGATTCTAGCTTACCTCAAATAACTGTGTCACCGATACTCCATAGTTTGGCAATAGGTTCCTAATACCATCAAAATTGAATATCTTTGGATGGCTCATTCGCAGCGAATATCGTATCTTCATGATCTAGCTAACACACAGGGATTCTTTCAGTTTTGGGAACCAAATTGTGGGTCAATTCTGGATTCCCGCAAACTGGGCTTTATTGTGAATAGCAATAGTCATTGCGAGGATTTTCAGAATCAATCCATATTTTCATTCGAATAATGATATGGGTGATAGTACCATGTAATTGTTGCTACTTTTCGCAAATAACCGGTGAGCAAAATTATTTTCTCAGCGGAAAAACAACTCATGAAAATGATAGGTGGTCGCGGAGAAGTAGAATATTTCCAATTCATATAATTAGCCCCTTTATCCCAAGATGAACGTGAATCCACTTGAGATTCAAAACAATGATTTAAATAATATGTATACAGGTATTCAGATCATTTTGCATTCTCGTCTTGGCAACAACAGAATAGTTTTTTTATTCGAATTTTTGTTCCTTCTTATTGACAGTATAAGCTTGAGTTAGTTCGTTCAGATATTTTTCATGTTTTTTTCTGTAATATGTGAGTTTATTCAGGTTTATTTCACTACGTTCTCATCAGGTCGCTTTCTGATCTACCTGCCTCTATGTTCAATTCACACACAATTTGGATTAGCTGAATTATAGATCAGGCATTCGACTAAGGATAATTGAGTCTTTGTTGGTATAAGAGTTACCTATTATAAATAGATTATCCTAAGAAACTTGCTGCCTTGGTCAGCTTGTTGAAAATTGTCTGCAGGAATCACCTGGGAGATATCAGAGGAGGCTTATCATTATTATATAATCAATACCTATATAAGAATACTTTATTTCTCTCTGATTCTTGTCATGCAATAAAACTGTATGTGTTGGCCTATGACTGAATGCAACGAATTTCCTAGTTGCCATCAATAAAGAAAATGTTTGAATTGATGGAAATCCATATCGTTATTGTAAAATCTTCAAAAACGATTTCAAATTTTTAAAAGTTTCTACAGTTATGATGTTCGCGTATCAAATTTCACCAGATAAATGGATTGTGGCAATCATTTTTTGGTAGAGCCTAATGGCTTACGAGTAGTTGTTCAAATCTGTCCATTGTTTTGCAGGAATAGCAGGCCTCTTCACAGTATTCTCAAGTTTCATCTTCACCTCGACTGTGTTGAATATCTTGCGAATCAATATGGCTGACCTAAAGTGAGTGGAACTGAAAACATCACAGCTAGCTGCAGATATCTGAACATTGTTCCGTTTTAGGGATGCTCTATTCTTCTTCCTTCTTCTGATAGATTTATCAAAAGCAGCGATGTTGGCCCAATTTGCTCTGAACGCCTCATGTCAGACCGAAGTTAAGAATAATATAGCTAAAGGAATGTCAGTTTTGGGACCTACCATCACCTTGGATACTATCGTGGAAACTCTAGTAATCGGTGTAGGAACCTTATCAGGTAATGTTTTCAGTAGATTATTTGTGGTTTGGCTCATACCTTTTTTCCAGGAGTTCATCGTCTTGAGATGTTGTCATGTTTCGCTTGTCTGTCCGTTCTAGTGAATTACATTGTTTTCATGACCTTTTATCCAGCATGTTTATCATTGATATTAGAGGTGAGTCAATTATTGAAGATGTTTTGCGGTGACAGATGTCTTATATGTATTGAAAACTGTTATTGGCATGTACACTCTCAGTTAGGTAATGTTAATTCAGTTCCTTATTGTCATCGTGTGTCATCTTGATTAATAATTTTGGTAATAGTGAATGATCATTGAAGGAGATTTAGAATACTGTCTGTAGGTTAATCGAGGAGGTGGTACATTCATTTTACTTGGTTCTTTGGGATTTTCTCTCCTCGTTTCTATAAAATAAAAGTATTCGTATTATTTCAATATATTTGTAGAGGGACAAATCAGATGATTTGCCCCAAAATGTCACTGCGTTTAACAAATTTTTCTATCAGGGAGTCTAAAAGAAAAATCCAGTAGCTTGTCAGTGACAATTTGTTTGAAAAAATTTTTGAAGGAAAGAAATATAGATATATTGAAAAAATATCGAATTTGTAGTTATCTTTGGACGTTTCGGGACCGATTCTGCTCCCGTTCTCAACATGTAAATGCAAATTATTTTTCTTTGAAAGTTGTGCTGCGTATAGTTTGACACTTTTCAGTGTCATACTGATGTTGGCATATGAATGAGTGATTTTAGTCTACAAATGAGTTACAGGATGTTTTCATTAATTGATCTTGAATCTACCATTTTCATGTTCAGTTTTCAGTAGTGAATACCATGTTCAGTTGATATTGATAGAACATGGTATTCACTACTGAAAACTGAACATGAAAATGGTAGATTCAAGATCAATTAATGAAAACATCCTGTAACTCATTTGTAGACTAAAATCACTCATTCATATGCCAACATCAGTATGACACTGAAAAGTGTCAAACTATACGCAGCACAACTTTCAAAGAAAAATAATTTGCATTTACATGTTGAGAACGGGAGCAGAATCGGTCCCGAAACGTCCAAAGATAACTACAAATTCGATATTTTTTCAATATATCTATATTTCTTTCCTTCAAAAATTTTTTCAAACAAATTGTCACTGACAAGCTACTGGATTTTTCTTTTAGACTCCCTGATAGAAAAATTTGTTAAACGCAGTGACATTTTGGGGCAAATCATCTGATTTGTCCCTCTACAAATATATTGAAATAATACGAATACTTTTATTTTATAGAAACGAGGAGAGAAAATCCCAAAGAACCAAGTAAAATGAGATTTAGAATGTTCGCCCTCCCCTTTAAGTAAAAATGAGTTGTGACACAAAGCAGTATTTGATGCAAAAATCACATTCCTCCTATGATTCAAAAACAGACCATCAGACTCTCTATCTTGAAAACCTTAGAAGAAAACTTTTAAGAGAATTCTAAAAATCGTAGATGAAATCAACTATCAGGTAATTCAACTATGAAACTCAAAACTGAATGTTTGGAAATGAAATGTCGTAGTAGTGAAAAAGTAATTATATGCACCACGACGGCACAGAGGATTCTTCTCGGCTGAGAGTATTCTGTATCTTGGTACTGCTCGAACATTCAAAGTTCCCTTGAACATGTTTTTGTTCTCCGAGATATCAAAAAAAGGTTGATACGAAATGTGGAAAAGTAGATATCATCTTTGAGTTTCTGAAAAGGACACTATATATTTTTATATTCCCTTTCAAAAAGTGTATATCTGAATTAAAATACATTATAAATATAGGGATCTATAGCCCTAGCTAACTGCAATAGTTTTCAAAGTATATAAAATCTTCAATTTTTACTTATTGTGCCTGAGGATCTATATAGCTACATCTTTCTGTTTCTTTATCACTAAAATAATATCTACTAACATACGTCAGTAACAACAATAATCATAAAGGCATTATTCGTTTCTGTTTTTTCTTCTTGAAAAAATCCCTAATGAGCCTTCGTCGTATTTGGTGACTTATTTGTTATGTTAACGTAATAGGCTATAGAGAAGGCGAATTCAATTATGCATACCAGGATGTACCATATTTTATAAAAAAAGGAGGATACGAAAATTATTATTCGATGCTTTATGAAATAATGAATTGTCATCACTACAAATTCAACACACTGTATATTTGAACTTTAAAAAAATAATATCAGAGAGAACATGAAAAAAATTAAAATATATGATTTTCCATGAAATAATGCGAACTAGAACTGTCAAATCAATCAACATCTGTTAAAAAAATATATCTAGATCTGATGTTATCTATACCTACTATTATACACAACTCTGTGAAATAATGTAACTCATACAGGTTGTCCAAAAGTTGCTGGAACACAGAGCTACCACGAGTATAGAGGTGGACCCAATTTTTTTATAAACCAAAATGTACTGTCAGAGAGAAGGGTTCTGAGTTTACATAAAAAAGAGGTGCATTTCAATTTTTTACGCTAAGTTAACGAAAGTTAAGTTAAGTTTGACAAAAGGGTTACCCTCCTTTCAGAAATCAAAGAAACTCAGAAGAAATTGTAGAGTGATTGAAACTACTCTCACCCCCGACATTTTCTTCAATCAATTTATTTTGGATTCTATTACACGACGTGGTAGCTCTGTGTCCCAGCAATTTTGGACACCCTGTATATAGGGTTGTCCTCAATATATAATATATAACAGAATTTCGTATTCAAGATTTCACTGTGTCACATAGTGGACTTGAATTTTTTTCGCAACAATCAACGAATTTGAACATATCACAATCATGAAAATATCGGAACTAGGAGTATTAGAGTCTGAGAAATCATAATTTGTAAAAATATTGATTTATACTTTTTATTGGTCAGTTGTCCCGTACAACGAATATATATGGTAAGAAGCAGAGCATCATATCGAAGGCGTTCAAAGAAGAGGATCACAAATCCAATCCAGTAGTCCAAAGAGTGAAGCTGATTATGTCAGCTGGCCTAATGTTGGTTCATGCGCATAGGTAAGTCAACAAGAACATGTCAAAACTCTAGTATGATCTGTGCCTACAGTATGATGTGTGGCTATAGTATATATATAGTACTACAAAAGGCTTATTCATCACTAAAACTGATATATGGCAACAGACACTTTCTTCCATCTAAAGTCAAATTTACTTTGTGTGAAACGCTGGTGTTAGCAATTTTCAACTATGCAGATACTCTTTATAGTCCAAATTTAACGAACCCGTACAAGAACAAGATTCAGAAGGTTCAAAACTTTTGCTTAATATTAATATATGGTATACGTAAACGTCAAAGGATCACATAAAAACTATCTGAAGCTGGTTGGTTGAATATGGAAAATGGACGGATTCTGCACAGTGCTTGCCTTTACCACCAACTTATTGTAAACAAAACACCCTCGTATCTTCACAGAAAAGTAAGATTTCGGTCTGATGTCCACAATGTGAATATCAGATTTAAAGGCACCTTGTCACCACCCACTTTCAGATTACACTATTTCAAACGGTCATTTTCCTACCAGATATGTAAAGTATATAACTCTATCCCTCAGGTGATCAAAGATGGAAGTCTATTGAAATTTAAAAAGAGCTATAAGCAATATCTGTTCCAGCTCCAGTGTAGAAGATAGATTTTAAAATTGATCTAATAGTGATTATCTGCATGAATTTCCCTCCTCTCACCAAATTCAAACGAACTGATACTAATCTTTTCTGGATTGACATCACATTCATATATAGCAATACATTTTAATGCTTCATAAAAATAACATGTATTTTCGATATTATGAGGCAAAGAGACGATCCAAGGTTAAGTGGAAGAACAGTTTATGTGGTGACTTGTTATCCCCACCTAAACTGATGAACTTCGCCTCTTACTCCCAATAATTATTGGTATTATTATATTGTTATTATTGTTAGTATTATATTATCATTATTATTATTGAGCTGATTAATTTTTTTTGCGAGTAATAAAGACGTTAATTATTATTATTATTATTATTATCTGTGCCCCAGTGGCGCAGCGAAGGGGGAGTTTTAGGGGTTGAAACTCTCCAGAACCAGACGCGAACTAGAAAAACTCAATATAAGCGTTTTGTATTCCATAATATATTCTCAGTTTTTTCAATACTATCTCGGATTTTTTCCAAATTCCCCTCCCCCAATACAAAATTATGGCTACGCCACTGCTGTGCCTGTATGATCTGTGCCTATACTATCTGGGCCTATAGTATCTATATCTATAGTATCTGTGCATATAGCAAGTAGATGGCAGTGATAGCAAAGCCCACTTCACATTATCGTAGGTGAACTCACCAAATTTGAGAATTATTGCTGAGTTTGGTTACCACTCACTTGTGCATTGATATACAGGGAGTCCCATAAGTCATGAATCAAAAGAAGTGGGGTGGTAGAGAGGGTAATTTGCAATCAAACTAACCGTATATGTGTTAATCCAATTGTTGATGGTTCGAAAGTTATTCAATTTTTCTGAAAAACACGAACCATTTGAAAAAAATCAATTACAAAAAGGCTGTTCTGAATAACCCTGTATATGTTATACCATTTCGTAATCTGTATCAAATGGGCAACTGTTGCTAATAGTTGGTTATCTTTGTGGGGTAGTTTTCAAATCTGCCAGCGGCATTAATGATCAACGAAATTAAATATTTCATTCAACAAAATTTAAAGAGAACATTTTTTTTAATTGATAGGAAGTAAAACACAGGCGATACAAATTACTTCTGGGGAATGGCACATCCATGCGGATGAAATTTGTAAAAGAAAAATTCACAAATGTGACATAGTTTTATTGTAATCAATTTTTTCTATAGAATTAAAAACTTTTGAACCATCAACAATTGGATAACCACATATACGGTTAGTTTGATTGGAAATGACCCCCTCCCCCCTACCACCCACTTGTTTTTATCGAAGACTTATGGAACACCCTGTATTTATGTAGTTGACATCGATAATTTATTTCGCAGAGTACAAAATGAATAAATTCATTAGTTCTTGAGTGAATAACACTAAAGTAATTTTGATGGTCGAAACCCTGGTAGCACATCAAATTGGCTGAATCCTGATTTCATATTGGGCCGATATAGTAGATATGTGAAAATAAAATTGGTCCAATATGAGAGTATATTGAAAGTACAATATTGGAATGATAAAATTGGTGAAAATTGGTTCAACTTGAGCCAAATGTGGATTGTCAGCTTCAATATTGAAGCAATATTGGTTGGAAAGTTCGTTTACGATATGTGGAAAAACATATATATGAATATTATATAATATTCTTCTGAGTAGTCCATACTCGAAGTAAAGGAGGATGATCAAAGAGAAGAAACTCGAAGTCGTCTCCACAAGTTTACTGGCGGAATGTGCAGTTAATTCTGCTTCATTTGATTGAGCCATGTTTCGACCATTTAAATTTTCATCATCAGTCATAGTTCTAATAAAGTTGATCTACAAAAAAAATTGTTCTTGCTCAACATCTAGCAGAAATGGTTACACTAATGAGTGGAAAATGACAATAAGTTATGGGTACAATGCAAAAACTGATAATGTGAAGTAAAAAATCGAAAACCAATGAAATTAAATTATTATAACTATGGTTAAGTGTAAAATGGATTGAGAATTTTATCATGAAAAATTATAATAAAATTGAGGAAACAAAAATTTTCAACTAATTATTCTTGAAAACAAAATGGCGAACAAGTGTAATATAAGGAGGTTGTACTCACATGGAAGTGGCTATAACATCATGAAGACGAAAAATTGTATATTAAAAGGACATTGAATGAAATTTGAAGGGGTATAAAATTTTCAAAAAATTTTTGTCGAGAAAGGCAGAGTCAATCACTCCAAAACTTTGAACACATCGGCATCTGGGAACGAGACAATCTGTCACGTTTGCTCATTTTTTCTAGATAGGTGAACTGAAGAAGACCCACAAAGCGTCATGAAATACGGATAATATGTGAAATATACATAATATCCGTATTTCATGAATATGTCTTTTCATTGGAAAGCGTGAGCACTCCTCGAAATTGACTGTTCATAGGACTAGTGCCTACTGTCGCTCATACACATCAGTGTGGGGAAGTTGAAAATTTAAATTTCAATGAATGGGACCGAAAATAGCTCGATTGTTGAATACCCTGCTTAATATTTAAGCTCTTGACCTTTTCTCAACTTATTTTTACCGCACATTGTTACCCGCGAGATCGTTGGGAGATTATGATGAGGTGATCGAATGATGGATTTTCCTAAAAAAGGACTTAGTTCATCTATTTGGTTTCTAGTCGCTGGCCGTTCAAACAAGAAGACAGTGATGACGTTGGCTCTCTCGTAGTTGAACAACATATGACACATAATCGTACCGAGGAAACAGCCTTGCATGGATATATCATGAAGTAAGTGAAATTTACATTGTAACATCAATATTTACTACACCTCATCACTTCAACTGAAACGTTCAACCCGGAATTCTGCTGGCCATTTTCATAGCTCATAAAATGTTATATTATTATTTTATGTTTATCAAATTACAATACCTACATTTATTTCGGTCTTGCAGGATCATAAATAGGGACATTGAAATAGTAAGTACCAAAACTTCAGAGGTGCCCTATTTCTTCATTTATTGTTTTTGTTCAATCATTAAAACTGTCTTGTTATTTCATCGAATTGCGTTTTTTTAAGAATGATAGAAGATTGGAAGAGAATATTTTCATTGGGGTAGTTCACATAGAAAAATAATTTTCCCTTATCTGATTTCTTGGGTCGTTATAACTTGATTGTTTTATTAACTTTTTATACTTATAATGGCTCGTATAATGGTGAGTAGGTGTGTATTTTTTCGAATTTCATAAATATCCATTACATACACTTCTTCAAAAAATTAACACTCCACCAAAAAATATCCAAAAGTTTGAGATACATTCTCGTCGAAACTACTTGTCTGATTTTTATTTTGAATGATATGTTATCTTCTGAATATTGGCGTGACAACTATATTCACCTAAGAACCTGTTTTTTATAAATACTGAAGGGTATATAGGAATCTGTAATTATTACGTTATCATGTTGAAATTAAAAGTACACTTTAGCCTCATCTTATTTCATATTCCTTTTTTGGATTTACTTCATCATCTTTCCTTTTTCTTCTGAAACACAATTTCATAGCATAACATGATTTTATTGAATTCAAATCTGACTCTCGCATGGTTGCATTTTTGTTGATCAAAGATAATGCCAGGCCTCACATCGTCCAAGTTGTGAGAAATTATCTAGAGGAAGTATTTATCGCTACCATGGCATGACCAGCTCGGAGCCTGGGTTTGAAACCCATTGAAAATCTCTAGGACATTCTTGGGAGAAGATTACAAGAGGAACGTTAATTGTTCTTGAAAATACTTTTCTACGGTGTTCCAATGATGTCAAAGTGTTAGTGAGTTTGGCATCACCCACCAGGCGAACGGCTCTTTTCTGGACGGAATCTAAGAGCATCAGAGTATGTGTGGGTGCTGAACCCCATATGTGAGAACAGTATTCTAGAACAGGTCGTATCTTTGCTTTGTAAATCATGAAAAGCTGTTTGGAAAACGCACGGCAGAGACTGATGATTCAAATATGGGAAGACCTGGACCAACCTCACATTTTAGTATATAGGCGTCTTTGCCATGAAGTTATTTCGTGCTCGCGGCTGATATACTCCCTACTGACCCTTTCGTTCAACTTGTCACTTCGCATTCTCTTTCGTTATTTCGTTGTTTAATTTGGATATTCATTTTTCATAAAATAATGTTATGCTATAAAATGGTATTTCTCGAGTAATAGAAAAGGTAATGGAGTGCATCCAGAAAAGAAATGTTGAAAAAGGATAAAGGCTAAAGTGTTATTTCAATTATAGCTTGATAGTGTAATTATTCCACTCAACAGGGTATTACAAATGTCATTAAACAAACGCTGTAATTGCTACTCTCGGTATGTATAAAAAATAGGTGTTAATGCCAATTCAGTAATGTTCAAAAGGAAATAACATGTCATTCAAAATGAAAATCGTCCAAATCGGACGGGTATAGTTTTGACGAAAATGTTTCCTCAACTTTTGGCTACTTTTTGCTGGTGCGTTAATTTCTTGAAGAAGTGTATTTCGTAATGTTTTGATTTTTTTATCGCTTGGAGCGCACGAAAGGAAATCCCTATTATGTTCAAAGAACATCGTGCGTTCCTAGGGAGAATAGGGACAGGAGGTAGGTATTGCATTTTTTTTGAACTTCTGGAGATTATATGTTGTTGGAAATACTTCCTCAGGCAATGATACAAGCAGATTTCAGTAATTGATAGAAGTAGGTAACCAGTTTGTGTGAAAATGTTTAAATCATACAAACATTATTTTAATAGGTATTTAATTTAAAACATTTTCCTGATGGAATTTTTGTGAATCATTTTTACCAGAGATTAAAACAGTTTGCGTTCGGCAAGGTCAGAGGGTTGAAAGATGATGTAAGTGATGACGTACACATTATTTGATCAATATTTTTTCCGATTCATTTTGTCACAATATCATAGATCACCCCATCAACAACACATTTTATTTATCGCTCTGATTTCGGATGTGTATACCTATCCCATATATCCTCACTCAATGAATTTTAATAGTATATTATGTAACAAGTGTTGTAAACGATCGTTTAGTAACGAGTATTTTAAGCACGAGCGGAGCACAGCGGAGCGAGTGTTTAATAAACGAGTGTCTAGAAGAGTTTATAAACGCGTTACATACTATGATTTTTCTACGAACTCCGAAAATTACATTGACATACCTGCAATTCTTGCTAACCTACAAAATAATTCGAAAGGAATGGGAATTGAGAACATAATACATGCAACTGCATGCAACCAGCGAGACACGTATAAGTGATATTGGTTGTAGATGTGTCCAGTCCATTGCTTATATACTAACCTTTGTTTCACGTTTATTGTCATGCTTAGTGCAGAATAAATAAATTGTTCTCAAAGATGGATGCTTTATTTTTTAACTTCTTGGAGATATAGTACCAGAACATTCTCTTCGATTTCACTTTCGTCTACTTTTCGCATATATTTTTAATGAAGAATTCTGATACAAACGAATATTGTTTGAATAATTCTGATACAAAATTTGAAAATAACAGTTGACATTTGATAAAATTGACAGGCCAGACATGTCTCGAATTCCTGAAGCTGTGTTTAATGAACTGCGTTGCCATGGTAATGTATGTTTAAGAAATCGTGTTGCCATGGTAAGTGTTTAATATTTTGAATAAATCACAGATCGACAATCCGTGATTAATCGATCATTCATCGTGGTACATATCCGTACGCTAAATGCCATTTTAGTTATGTGAGTAGAAAAAATAATTGAAATGAATCACATTCTCATTATGTTTCACTCAATTGACAGTAGTGTTGAAACTTTAGTAAAAAGGTTTGATTTTATTATTTAGATTTTACCCATTTTAGCCTTGATGCCCTCCAGAATTTCATCAGCGCATTTTTCATATAAAAACTATTTTTTTTTAAATTGTGTTCAAATTTGGGCCAACTCATAAAATATCACCCAGATACACCAAACATAATCAGCTTCTGGACAAAACTAAAGCAATTGTAATTTGGCTCAGAACTAACCCTATGTGATATCATTTTATTATAGCATTGTAGCACACTGTGACTGCGAAATCAAATTCACTTCTCAGTTATAATATACATGGTGTTCTCGAAATTGGGGCGATAAATTAAATGAGAGGTGTTTTTTTGTCAGTCAAACAAAAGTGTACGTTTATACTAAGGTACCAAACTGTCTTTCAACTATTATTGAAACATTGTAGAAGTCATTCTTACTTCCGGTTCTCTGCTCCTGACCTCGCCGAAAGCAAACGCTTGAGTTCGCCTGTAAATCTTCAACATCACCAATTTTTTATTTCCACAATCTTCTCTCATACATCGCACCTGCTTCTTTGTTAATCTTATCTATTCGATCATTGAAAGATGTGTGTCTTATTTCCTGAATCATATTTACTCCACTTCGAGATAGTATGGAATCATTCTACCTTGGATTAAAAATGTATCATATCGTATGGTTATTACATCTTTCATTACCCACATCATTTATAGCTACATTTTCGGAAACATCCTGTACAGAACCGAACTTTGTTTTAGATGGGTGGCCCTCAGTGCTGACCATATAGTGATTCTGATATTGCTGTTGGCTCTGGTCATCAAGTTCATTTTCTTCGAGAACAAAGAAGAATTCGCTAAGATAATAAAAGCTTCCATGTCAGAGAATTTGGACAAAGGCAATGATTTCAACAAACTGAATCGGGAAATGCATCAACGGCCCAAGCCTGAGCCTGAGATGCCAATTTTCAAACACTCTGACACGTTCTTTTTTGGAAAAAGTGATGATGAAAAATCCGACAAATCGAGTGGTATGTATGAACTTCCAAAAAGATTAATTCCATTTGCTGTTTCCTTTTCCTAGGTCATATACTTAATTATACTTTTTCAACTTCACATATTTCGAATATCTGTCGAATATTATCTAATATTTCAGAGTGGGAGATAGTGACAGACGGACTTGACTCGAATTACATAATTAATGATAGTCATATAGGGCTGGACGTCGGGGCTCAATCACAGGCAATTGTAGAAAAAATTACGGATTTTGAAAGATTTTTTTCCATAAAACTTCTTGCGTTTTTCGGTAGTTCATAGAAGACTATCTTGCGCGAGCAACATGCCATACTAATTTTTTTTCCTAAACCATTTTTTCCAGCCTCAATTTTGTTTCAACTAATTATTTTTAATTAGACATTTGCCATACACACTTTTGACGGTTCAATATAAGTAGTCGCCATACACCCATAAAGGAGTAGATGCGGTTGCAAAGTTGCTAAAAGATTTTTCTACAGTATGACGACTATTTACAAAACTGTATGGCGTGACGTTGAACTAGCGAAAAACGCAATTTCTGTAATTTTTTCTAAAAGTTTAATTAATCGTCCTGTGATTAAGCTCCGACGTCCAGCACTATGACTATTTATAATTGTCCTATCATTAATTATGTAATTTGACCTCTGAAGGGGTGTCATACTTGTGAATGATTAGTCGAGTCCGTCTGCTACTATCTCTTGCCGGTCTATTTTGACAGATTTCAATAAACTCAAACTTTCAAATTATTAAAAAATTTGCTCGGAGAGTTTTTATAAAACCCTGAATTGGAAAGATCGTTTTTAGTGTCACTTCATCTTGCACGAATTTGAAATAAGTGTATTGTACACAGAACAAACTTCCAGACTGTGATGCATTTCCAAAGGATTGGAGATTGACCAAATCCTTGTCCGAATACGTTCTGGATTGCATTGATTTCTTGATAGAATCCGCTTCTCATGGATGCCAAATATCCAGAAGTTGATAGAGGGTTTCAACCTCTCTTTCATAAATCTTTTTTTTTTGCTAATCCAATCATGGTTTAATCCCTTGCTCGCACTGGATTGTATTCTTCACGAAGAAAACAATTTAGACAAGTATTGTCAAAATAAGTAGGTACAAGGTCATTCCGTACATTTGAACAGCTTCTACAGGGTTCATCATTGAAGAGGAAGTAAAAAATTCAAATACAAAAGTTCTTGGGTTTGTTCTGAACCTCCATAAAATTGTACGAGGATATACGGAATGGGTACCAACTACCAAATTGCTTATTTGTTCGGATTTCAAAAGCATTTACTAAGCGTGTTCCATTTGAAAAAACAAATTTGTATTGTAATGTGACCAAATTCTAAATGGTTGTTCATATGATTGTAACAAATGTCAGAGAAATCCGTTTACGAATGCAGAAGTTATAAGGGTGGCCCGATACCCTGTCACCCGGTATGAAGTGTTGTTGTGCACCGACTTTTAGTGCCTGGTAAAGTGGTTATACTCTATTATTCACCTATTTGAATGGTGATCTTATATGTGTATACCTTCCAGATTTCATAAACCACATATCATAACCACGTTTGTTCATTCAATTGTTTATTGCTCTTTTCACTAATTTCTCAATATTATATGGAGTTCATTCATTTATTGATAGTAGTAGTTTTTCATCTTCAGGAAGCAGTGGTGAAGGAGTTCCTTGCTGAAGTTGCTGAAAATATTGTACCTAATCTGATATAATTCTCGAACTTTTGTTAAATAATCTGAAAAATGGAGGATTATATACGGGATACTTTGCCATTATAATCAGATACACAAATCATTGAAACTTTCAGGTGGGTGTCGAAATTCATGTAGGTAGGTACAATAAGGGACAAAACATATTGAATTAAAATCTAGATACGAATGTTTTGATGGAATATATTCACCATGCCTCCACAGAGGGCTTCCAGAGATATTGTGAATAGACTCAAAGAAGAGTTTGAAGCTTAAGAATATTATTCGAATAAAGATACAGGTTCCAAAGTATTGTTTTTTCCGTAAATTCTGAATAAAGGTTATGTTCTCAGAGGTTATCTTCTGCCGCGTTCGGGTGTTCATAATTTGTGAACCGTTCTGAAACAGTCCTAGGATTTGAAACGACTGCGCACTATAGTTCTATGCAGTTAGAGAACGATTCTTGAACAGTTCTGAAATCGCAACCCGAATGAACCTTTAGATGCTATAGTCATAAGTCAGTAGAGCTAATAAGCAATAACCTGTGTTATCCCAGACGTAGAACTCGAAGACAAGGCCGTGCAAACCACGCGGTCCGATTTCGTTAAAGAAGGCTCTCCATCCTCCGACCTCGACGACAGCAGGCCCTGCCGCTCGCTGGATGAGTGCCTCTCCATCTACAACAACTCCGACCTAGGGGCCGGTTTCTTGACAGACGACGAGGTGATCCTGCTGGTGAGGCACCGGCGCATCGCCGCCTACCAGATCGAGAAGGCCGTGGAGAACCCGGAGCGCGGGGTGGGGATCAGAAGGAAGATCCTGGGCGGGCTGGGGAACTTCAAGAAGGCGCTGAGCGATTTGCCGTACAGGAACTATGACTACGCCAAGGTGAGCATTATTTTTTTTATGTTCTGGTTACCACGAAAAGGGATATCCTGTGATGTTCAGAGAACATCGTGAGTACCATGGGAAATAAGGTAGGAATTGGCTGTTCTTCTTGAATTTCTGGAGGTTTGGAAAGAGATGTTCTGCGGTTCTCCAAAGTGACCACGAAGGGGTGCGAAGCCTCAACTCGACGGGTTAATCTCGCGGGGACTGCCAAGGGAGGAACAATTGTTGATATTTGACAGGAGCATCGTCCATGAAAATATCTATGAAATAGAGCCAGATCGCCAACTTTTCTACGGTGTTCCAGAGAAGTGTGAGTTTGTGAGCGAGGCATCACCCACGAGTAGGGGTGGGAAAAATTATCGATATATCGATAATTATCGATAATTATCGATAATTATCGATAATAATTTGGAGAAAAATTATCGATTTATCGATATTATCGATATTATCGATATTATCGATATTATCGATAATTATCGATATTATCGATATTATCGATATTATCGTTATTATCGATATTATCGATATTATCGATATTATCGATATTATCGATATTATCGATATTATCGTTATTATCGATATTATCGATATTATCGATATTATCGATATTATCGATATTATCGATATTATCGATATTATCGATATTATCGATATTATCGATATTATCGATATTATCGATATTATCGATATTATCGATATTATCGATATTATCGATATTATCGATATTTTCGATATTATCGATATTTTCGATATTATCGAAATAATCAATAATGTCGATGATACCAAAATTATCGGAATTACCGATATAACCAATGATATAAAAATTATCAAAATGAATGAGCATCAGAAAAATAGGTTTTTGTTTCTTATATGGAACACCCTGAATAAAACAGATACTTGTTGGTAAGAATTGAAGTAAGAATGAAGAATATAATAAGATACGCCACCCTGTACATCAGCCCTGTTCAAACAACATAGGACTCCAGCACAGCAACTTGCATGAAGCTATCTGACATCTGGCAACGTGGCAACCCTTATTAGTTGTGGTGGCAAACTTATTGGTTAGTTATGTGTTGAACGAGTAACAAGTATCAAGTAAGGTGGGTTATCTAATTATATGGAATATTTTTATTTCATCATTCGATTGCTCATTCCTTGAAAAATAACATAATGACAAAATGGCTTTGTTTATTATACCTACGTAGAAACCAGAAAGTAAATATAAAAAATTAGTTTTAAAAAAATACCCTTGTCACGACTAGAAGTGGGAAAAATTATCGATATATCGAAAATTATCGATAATAATTTGTAGAAAAATTATCGATAATATCGATAATATCGATAATATCGATAATATCGATAATATCGATAATATCGATAATATCGATAATATCGATAATATCGATAATATCGATAATATCGATAATATCGATAATATCGATAATATCGATAATATCGATAATATCGATAATATCGATAATATCGATAATTATCGATAATATCGATAATATCGATAATATCGATAATTATCGATAATATCGATAATATCGATAATTATCGATAATATCGATAATATCGATAAATCGATAATATCGATAGATTATGATTATCGATAATCGATATTTCAAAATCATTATCGCCCACCCCTACCCACGAGACGAATTACCCTTTTTTGGACAGAATCCAACAGTTTCAAGATATGTTTGGGTGCTGCACTCCAACAGGTCATGCTTGTGTTTTGTTTGCATTGAAATCTACCAAGTCATTGGATCCCCATTCTAGAATTGTTGCCAAGTCCATATTTATGTTTTCAACATTTCTCCCTCGTTGGTTTCTGATTTGCCTGGCTGATATTGGAGCCCTGGAAGAGAAGGCGGTATGGAGGGTACTATCATCCGCGAAGCTGTGTACTGGACAAGTTTCTTCCAACAAATCGTTGATATGGAGTAGAAATAGTGTTGGTGCTAGAATTGACCCTTGCGGAACACCAGCTTTTATGATGAGAGTCAGATGAAACTCCGTCGACCACTACATGGAGGGACCTGCTTGAGAGAAAACTAGCTAGCAGAGAACATAGCTAGGGAGGCAAGCCATAAGATGGAAGATTGGCGAGGAGTCCTTGGTGCCAGACTCGATCGAATGTTTTGAATTGACTCGGCCGTTACTTGATGGAAATCCATGATAAATGTAAAAACTTCACAAACGATAAGATTTCCACAAAATTTATTAAACACACGACATGTTTCGCTAACACAGTAGCTTCGTCAACTAATCCTTCAGGTTGGGAAGGTAAGATATATAAAAGTTAAGCAAGCCAACGTTAGTTTAGTTCATTGTACCAGTATATCACCTGACGAAGCTACTGTGTTAGCGAAACATGTCGTGTGTTTAATAAATTTTGTGGAAATCTTATCGTTTGTGAAGTTTTTACATCGATCGAATGTCTTGGAGATATCAAGTGCAACGGCTAAGGTTTCACTATATTCTTCAATAGATTGCTGCCATATATGTGAGACCTGAGCAAGCAGGTCACCAGTTGATCTCTGATGACGGAAGCCATATTGTCTATCGTTGATAATACCAGAATGTTCCAGGTATTTCATGAGCTCGATGTTGATAGGTTTCTCCATGATCTTTGAAATAATAGATAGCAGTGCGATCGGTCTGTAGTTGCTAGGTAGGGTCTTTTTGACTTTTTTAAGAACTGGTAGTACTCTTGCAATTTTCCAGTTGGACAAGAATATCCCCAATTTGTAGTAGTTGAACAACTTGCAGAGAACAGGTGTTAGTTCGGGAGCACATTTCTTGAGGACAATCCGTGGGATTCCGTCGGAGCCATAAGCTTTGTTGGTGTTTAGACCCAATAAAATATTCCTTATAGTACGTTGGTGAAAGGTTATCTCGGGCATATGACTGTCAATTGGCGATATGTTTGGAGGTTGTTTTCCCGATGAATCCAGAGTGGAATTTCCAGCAAATAAATGCGCAAAAATGTTGGCTTTCTCCTGTGCAGTTGTGGCTAGTCTTCCATCTTCCTTGGTTAGTGGAGGAAACGAGCTGGAAGTGAAGTTTCTACCTTCAGCTTTGGCGAAGGACCAAAATGAGCGGGAACCATTAGGACATTCGACAAGTTTCGATCTTATTTTGGCAGTATGAGCATCTTTTGATGATCAAATTGTCTCATAGCATATGCTTCTAGCCTCGACATATTCTGCTCTAGTCTCAGGGCCTGGATTTTTTTGCCATCGATGGAATGCTGCCTGTTTGGAAGCGACTGCTCTTGAGCAGTTTCTACTCTGAACCAGGCCTTATCGGAAGATTTCCTCCTTGCAGTGTTTTTTTTTTTTTATCGATTGGAGCGCACGAAAGGGAATCCCTATAATGTTCAAAGAACATCGTGCTTTCCTAGGGAGGATAGGGACAGGAGGTAGGTATTAGAATTTTTTTAGAATTTTTGGAGATTATATGTTGTTGGGAATACTTCCACAGGCAATGAATTCCAGAGCCTAGCCGTTCTATGGATGAAGGAGTCTTGATAAAGTGCTGTTCGACATCTTTCGAGGTTGACGACGAAAGGATGTGCTGACTGGGCTTGTCTAGTTCGTCTGATTGGTATTGCTAGTGAAGGGATGATTGCAGAGATTTCCGAAGAACATTTCCCGTGGAACTATCGATAGAAAAGTGAAAGGTCGCCGACCTTTCTACGGTGTTCCAATGATGTCAAAGAGTGGGTCAGTGTGGCGTCACCCACCAGGCGAATGGCTCTTCTCTGGATGGAATCTAAGAGCATCAGCGTATGTTTTGGTGCTGAACCCCATATGTGGGAACAGTATTCTAGAACAGGCCGTATCTGCGCTTTGTAGATCATGAGAAGCTGTTGAGGTGTAAAGTAGCTTTTCGCACGGAACAAGAATCCGAGTTTTTGTGAAGCAGCTTTTGCGATGGATCTGACATGATTATCCCATGAAAGAGTGTTGCTGATGGAAATACCGAGCATAGATATGGTGGGCTTGGTGGGGATGGTGGAGCCAGACATTACAATATCGGGCATACTGAGTTCCGCCTTTCTAGAGAAAATGCAGGCTTGAGTTTTGGTGGCGTTGAATTCAACTAGGTTGTTCGCTCCCCAGGCTGTGATCTCAGCAAGATCTTCATTGAAAGCATTGACCTGCCTGCGCCGTGAGTTCTTAGTTTCCTGGGAAGAAATGGGAATTCTGGAAGAGAACGCAGTATGGAGGGTACTATCATCTGCAAAGCTGTGGATGGGGCAAGTTGTTACTCCCAACAGATCATTGATATGAAGCAGGAATAATGTTGGTGCCAAAATTGATTCTTGTGGAACGCCGGAATTGATGCCAATGGTATCAGACGATACACCGTCCACCACCACGTGAAGCGATCTGCCTGAAAGAAAACTCGATAAGAGATGGCATAGCTGAGGTGGTAGGCCGTATGATGGTAGTTTGTGGAGGAATCCTTCGTGCCAAACACGGTCGAATGCTTTCGATATGTCCAACGCGACTGCTAGAGATTCCCCGTGTTTTTCTATTGAAGATTGCCATAAATGGGTGACGTAGGCAAGTAGATCTCCAGTAGATCTTCGGTGGCGAAAGCCGTATTGTCTATCATTGATGATTCCTGAGCTCTCCAGATATTTGATAAGCTCAATATTGATGGCTTTCTCCATCACTTTGGAGATTACTGATAACAGTTGGCCTGTAGTTGTTGGGCAGGTTCTTGTTCCCTTTTTTGGGGATTGGTTGGACTCTAGCTGTCTTCCAGCATGATGGAAAAATACCCGACCTGTACGAGATGGTAAACAACTTGCAGAGAATCGGTGTTAATTCTGGTGCACATTTTTTGAGGATAATGGGTGGAATTCCATCAGGACCGTTAGCCTTATTCGTTTTGGTATATGTAGGTTTGCATCCCCAACATGATGAGTAGTAGATATATGTATCTACATCTATTGTTGTTCCAGGTGATGGGCGCTTGCTGCGAGAACGTCATCGGCTACATGCCCGTGCCGGTGGGCTATGCGGGCCCCCTGCTGCTGGACGGGCGCGAGCTGTACGTCCCGATGGCCACCACCGAAGGGTGCCTTGTGGCCAGCACGAACCGCGGATGCCGCGCGCTCAAGACCGTCGGCGTGGCCAGCAGCATTGTGGCCGACGGGATGACGCGTGGTCCGGTCGTCCGGTTCCCGTCGCTAGTCGAGGCCAGGTGGGTACCCAGGCACCTCAGAATATTCCGAGGGGTAAACCGCGGTCAAAATTGTGTACACCGAACTTCAATTTCACAAGGAATTTCAAGAAATTCCAGTTGTTTGTACACCAGAATTATACCGTACTTCAAACAAGAAATTTCAAGAAACTCCAAGGAATTCCAAGGAAATCCAAGAAATTCCAAGGAATTCCAGTTGTTTGTACACCAGAATTATATCGCACTTCACCCAAAGAATTCCAAGGAAATTCGAAGAATTCCAAGGAAATCCAAAGAATTCCAAGGAATTCCAAAGAAATCCAAGAAATTCCAAGGAATTCCAGTTGTTTGTACACCAGAATTATATCGCACTTCACCCAACGAATTCCAAGGAAATTCGAAGAATTCCAAGGAAATCCAAAAAATTCGAAGGAATTCTAATGAAATTCAAGGAAATCCAGGGAATACCAAGGAATTCCAGTTGTTTGTACACCAGAATATTCCATCGCAGTTTACCCTTCGGAACATTCTGACAACGTTCAAATATACTCGAATGGTAAGCCGAGGTGGAAGTCTGGTGTACAAAAAACTGGAAATCATTCCTTGTGATATTGAAGTTTGGTGTACTTACACAACTTCGACCGCGGTTTACCCCTCGAATATACTTATTCTAGAATATTCTTAAAGAATGTTCTCAGAATGATCATAGAATATTCTCATCCTGCAGCGAATATTCTGTGAACATTCAATTTGACATTTTCTTCATTATTTTTTAATGTTCTGAGAATATTCAGAATCGTATCAAAATAAATTATATTGATGTTCCTATTCATGTTTACCCTGACATAACCTATTATTCTCTAGCCTCAATGCTGATTATCCCGCTAATTCAGTGTTGTAATCTTGCTATTCATTTTATTTATCAATAAGGTTGGTGGCGAAGTAGTTAAGGTTTCAGGTTCTTAAAAATTCAATCACTGGATAGTAGTTTTCGGCTGTATGACAAATTGATATTCATCATACAGGCGTGGAAAGAAATTCTGAATTGAGAAAACATATATGCATATAAGATCATTCTGAATATTCAACAGAAAACAACTACTTTCCTGGCTATTTGCCACGTCGAACATTGAATTATGAACATCCAAAAGGAGATTATGAAAATAAAAATCCTCTGAAATTGAGAACTGACATTATCTTTCAAATCGGATAAATATAATATAATGTATAATGATATAAAAATGAAAACTTACATGTAAAAGGAGAAGTATACTTGTATAAACTCTCATCTTGATGAGCATAAAACTTCAAAAAATCATTCTTATCAGTGATATTGGTATATTATCTCTCACAAACAGGTTATATAACTTTTTATGAACTTCAGAAATATTTTGAACAACCCTGTACACCAATTATTTTTTCTTTTTTGTTTCAGTGCTGCTCTAAAGTGGATGGAGACACCTGAAAACTTCGCCAAAATGAAAGCTGAATTCGACTCAACTAGTAGGTTTGCAAGGCTCAGTAAATTGTTGATTAGGATAGCTGGAAGATATTTATTCATAAGATTCGTGGCAAAGACTGGTGATGCTATGGGCATGAACATGCTTTCCAAAGGAACTGAAATAGCATTGAAACACGTACAGAACGTGTTCCCGGATATGGAGATTTTGAGTCTCAGCGGGAACTTCTGCACGGACAAAAAACCAGCTGCAGTTAATTGGTAAATATATTTTCATTTCAATTTGGATAAAACCACTGGATACGGTTGTGGGTTAGATGTAGCTCGAGTATCAGTTGATCACTATAAAATATGACCCTTATCTCAATCATCCCATGCATTATTATAAAAAAATCTATGTGTATATTACTTCCTCACATGAATCCATGAACCAAATATTTGTCGAATGTAGGCATTATTGTTATATAATGAACAGCCTAAAAGTCATTGCCACATAAATAAATTGGTAGACAACGAGTATAATTGTTCTGTAACATATAATAATTGTTGATGTCAGACGATAGTTTGCTGGGATCAACCACAAAAAATGCATGAGAATTCTAGAGATAAATTATTATGGTACTGCAATCACAGTTTTGAGGATATACAAACATTTCCTAAACTGTGTGAGATAATATGGAGTTCGTCTCATTTTACCCTTCTAAGTGACGTTCACTCGACGCCGAGATGATGACGTGATTATCACGTCATAGAAAGTACGTCATAGTGACGTCATGAATAGGGGTGTGACGTCTCTGACGAGAAATCACCAATTAGGGACGTCACAGTGACGTGATCATTCGTCATTTGGTTGCCTGGGATTCCAATTCAACTCCGACTCATTTTCAGGATTGAAGGTAGAGGCAAGTCCGTGGTGTGCGAAGCGATCGTCCCCTCCCAAATAGTGACCTCCGTCTTGAAAACCACAGTGCAGGCCCTCGTGGACGTCAACTACTCGAAGAACATGATCGGCTCGGCGGTGGCCGGTAGTATCGGCGGTTTCAACGCGCACGCCGGCAACATCGTGACCGCCATCTTCATCGCCACCGGGCAGGACCCCGCACAGAACATCGGGAGCAGCCACTGCATGACCCTCATGGAGCCCTGGGGCAAGGCCGGCGAGGACCTGTACATATCCTGCACGATGCCCTCGATAGAGATAGGTACGGACGGGCGGCGTTCACAGCCGTACTTATGTCACTGACACTGCGTTTTGGCCGTGAGCATTCTTGCCAACAGCCAATTTTAAAAACGGCTAGATGATGGTTGCAGAGAGGCCAAATTATAGCTAAAAGTGATAGCGGGCCGCAGACGAAAAATCTTTTAGCCATTTTTTAGCCAATCTAGCAAATTTTTTGCAATTTTTCTAGCAAAAACATTGTTAATATCAGAAAATGCCTGTTCAAATATTAGACGCTGAGAATAATATTCAAATTTCACTGGCTGATCAACTGCTGCTGATTACTGATGAAAACCATGAAAACGTGTTCCGAATCACAGCACTGTACTTTTGATTTTATATTTCGGAGCACAAATTTTCAGCAAAGTCAGCGTATCTACTGACAGTACTGACCAGTTGAATTTGGAATATTGCTTCCATTTAGCCTCCTATGTCTAGAGCTTAGATCTCTAGAGCTAGACTACTGACTCTAGTAGTATTCCAAAGAAGGGCAGATTTGTGTTTGGGTGTATGATAAATTGATATTCATCATACAGGGCGTGGAAAGGAATTCTGAATTGAGACTCTATCACGAATCTGTGATTAGAGGTCTATAAAATTGACAAGTTTTCATCGTTCAAGTTTGAACCCCCTGATTGGGTATGAAAGGGTTGGAAAGGAATATTCTCAGATAAATTATGAACATAAAAAAATTGATATATATATATATATATATATAAAGCAATACATTGAGAACTTGCATTCTCTATGTGATGAGAATATCAACTCTTTTTCAGTTTATTCAACAGAAAACAACTACTTTCCTGGCTATATGCCACGACGAACATTGAATTATATCTATTGAACACACATGATAAGAGTTTGAAAATAAAATATAAAATCTTCTGAAATTGAGAATTCGCATTCTCCTTCAGGCAAAAATATGTATATATGCAGACATCATTCTGAATATTCAACAGAAAACAACTACTTTCCTGGCTATTTGCCACGTCAAACATTGAATTATATCTGATGAACATCCAAAAAGGAGAGCATGAGAAATAAAAAATGAAATTCTCCGAAATTGAGAATTATATTTTTCCCAAATCGGATGAATAATATGATGTATAATGATATAAAAATATAACTTACCATAATATATTCAGAATTGAAATGAAAATTGGAAAGCATAGTAGAAGTATACTGGCATAAACTCTGATCTTGATGAGCTTGAAAACTTGCAAAAATAATCAGTCATATCAGTGATATGGGAAATATCATCTCTCACACACAGGTTATATGACTTTATTGCATGGTTACTGATGAGGATTCAGAAATCCGAAATGAGTTCATTGCAATAAAGTCATATAACCTGTGTGTGAGAGATAATATTTCCCATATCACTGATATGAATGATTATTTTTGGAAGTTTTCAAGCTCATCAAGATCAGAGTTTATGCCAGTATACTTCTCCTATCCATTCCAGGGACGAGGTCACCTTAAGAAGCCACTATGAATACGGGCATAAAACAAGTTTAACGTCAAGTACTGAAGAGTCCTCAAGGAATCCTCAGATAAGGAAGACTTGAGGAGTTCTTGAGGAAACGACTATAAATACGGGCCTTTTTACTTGAATATCTGCAAGAGGGCGTGTCGCTCATTTCGAATCGCCTCTTCTAGGTACAGTGGGCGGCGGCACGGTGCTTCCCGCGCAGGCGTCCTGCCTGGAGATGCTGGGCGTGAGAGGGGCGAACATCGAGTGTCCTGGCGAGAACGCGAACCAGCTGGCCAGGATAGTGTGCGGCCTGGTGCTGGCCGGGGAGCTGTCTCTGATGGCCGCGCTGGCTGCTGGCCACCTAGTCAGGAGCCATCTGAGGCACAACAGATCCACCACGGTGCTGCCGGAGGGTGTTAGTTTCGAATCTCTTGTTGCGAAGAAGGACAGTTGCCTCAGTCCGCCTTGCAAGGACAATTTTTGAATCGTTTTTAGTTATTTTTTTTTTAGTTATTTAATTAGATATTGTTTATTTTATGTTTTGTAGATCATATCGATGTTTGTGCCAGGTGTCTAATACATTATACAGGGTGGATTAAGATCGATGATCAACTCGGATATGATGAGAAGTTTACTTCGTTTCAACACTTTCAACTATGTGTAGAGGAAAGTGGTCTATATGCCATTAACATTATTTATGAAGATAGATTATATTCACATTCGATGCCCATCCTTGGCATCTCTTGAACCATATGAAGGATAATTTGCGGTAATTCGTGGATGTTAATTATATCGGTCTAAACCCATGAAAGAAAACATGAAAATTTAAAACATTTTTGTTAATGCTACTTTTGAATCTTCTCAAGTATCTGATCTCATCTTTTCCAAATATTGTCTTGGATAAATGTACCAAATCGATATACAAGGGGAGTGAACCTCGATGTCTGTGTTACAGATAGAGCGGAAACATCGAGTTTCACCCTGCACAATGAAACAGTGGGAACCTGTGATCATGTTATCATGTTGAATTTCCATTAAAAAATGCAAGTATATTCTCAGAAGCCTGAAGTAGATGTGCCAAATGTCTAGTAAAATGAAAAAGCAACATATCTCTTGTGGTTCTCGAGACTCCGAAAATGAGCGTCCAATTGGAATCAAACTCATTCCGATCTATTTTCTAGAAGATAGGCAGAGCAAAGTCTACTTACTCTGTTGTTGAATAGAACATTTTTGAGAGAGAACTTCTGATCTGGATATAATTTGCCTCTCCCTGTACATTATTCATAAACAGCAAGTTTTCTCAGGTTGATAACAATTCCTTATGAAAATTTATTGTCCTTTACAACTTCTAAATTTTCTACAAATATTTCAAGCGAGGGGTATACCATTACTAGTCAAAGAAAGCAATTGGATGTAAATGTATAAATCATTGGAGATTTATTCAGAATTTTCCAGAGTATTCACCCTTTCATCATACCTTTGTTCAATTCTATCCCACATTCAGATTTCAAGCTGATTTTGGAGTTAGAGCAAATCAAAGCTTCTTAAACTATGCTAGATATTATTTCTGACTGTTCTCTGAATATCTGTATAGGATATTTCACAAAACTTGGGCTCTCCTCTTGTTTGTGGCAATGAAGGAGTTACAAGAAATGAAAAGAACGGTGAAGATATATTTTCAGTCTTTCATGGACTTTCTTCCACAGCTACTTTCAACTTCAACACTCTTTTTTTGCATTCCATTTAGTGTATCAAATAAAAGTTATGGTTCCAGTTATGTGGCAGACCCTGTACATTCAGTAAAGTATTTGAAAGTTTTGATATGTTCTAAATGTGTCTCCAAGAATGTATTCATATATGTGGTGTTTCTGATACCCAGAAAATGCATGGCATATCAAGAACTTCAACTTGATTACCATGGACACAGATAATTTTGGGCAAGATCTTTTCCTGTTGTAACTTTATCATTTGGAGAAGTTTCCCATTATTACAACATCAAGTTTTTAACAACTTGAAACAAAGTAATGAACTTATTTGGGTTCTGTTTCCATGACAAATCATTGTCATATTGATACCAAAATACTTTCAAATGTGTTTCATGGTCCCTTGATTTCTTGCCTGAAATTTTCTGAATGCTTTAGTTTCCTCATTTTATTATTCCTGTTTTCTTTTCTCTTTATTTCTTATTATTTTATTGTTCTGATTATTATGTATTGTGCTACTTGTTATTATTGACCTTGACTGCCTTGCCTTCAAATTCCATGCTAGTGCCCAATTTCCTCAAATCCTCTTTGATGTTTTTCATTTCCCTAATCCTACCTCAATATTTTCATTGAATTCAATTTTTGATGGATTAATTCTCCAGTCAACAATATTTTTTCATATAGATGTATTCATATTCTCATACTACTCAAGTAAATAGTTACATTCTAAATAACTGTCTGTGATGGTCAACTGGGCTTCTCATCCATTTGTCTACAAAAATACTGTTGCTTGTTTTTGGATTAAAAAAGAAAAGTGTATACACTCCAGTGTTAAATATAGTTATTTAATTTTTTTAATGAAGTTATTTTTAATTATTATTGTGCATTTTTATTATCCTCCCTACTACTAATTAGATATCAGTTGATAAAATCATTTATTAGCAAAAATAAAATGAAAAATTGGTAAAATTACAAAATACTTATTTTATAAGAGGTATACTGGTTCTGTACAACAAAAAACATCCAAAAAATTCCTGAGATTAAAAAATTATAGGTATTCATATTTGATAGAGATACCTCTTCTTTGCTCCTTACATCTTCTCAAAAGTTTCTTCATAAGGGCAAGTTGTGCACTTTCTGTGATATTCATCTTCTTCTTCATCATATGTTTCAGGTCCAAAATTATGAACGTGAGGCCCTGCTGTGGTACGATCATACAGACTACTGCGCATGCCTTTTCTAAGTTCTTTCAGATGTTTCTCATACTTCTTTGATTTAGCCATAACTTTTTTTTCTTCTCTGAGTGTTCGTTCCTCCTCTATCTTCTCTTCACTACCCCACACTTCCAAAGCCCTTTTCTCCACCTGAAATGGATTTATAGAAAAAAGTGTTCTGTTTAAAGCTGGAAACATCTTTTACTTGAAGTCTCAGGTACAATTTCATATCTCCCCAGTGAGAATTATGTGGATTTTTTTGTTTGATGAACTTCAAAATAGGCTCCCTTTTATCTAAATCACAATCCTTCAGTAAATATGAATCCTTGGCCTCTGTTTTTGTGATCAACTTGTGCATTTCTGGATCCCTAAGAGAAGATACAACATTTAATTCATCATTACAGCCTTTTTCAAAACCAACAGTGAACTTACTTGCACAAATCACAGCATTTGAATTCAAAATTATCAAATAACCAAGAAGTGGCAAATGGTTTCTCACAGGTTTCACAGAATGGTCTGTCATACTCAATGATTGGGGTTGGGGCATCAAGTTCCTTCACAATGTTTTCCTGAAAATAAAAATGATTAATGCATTAAAGTTTATCTTATCATTAATAAGATTATTTACTCACGAATTCTTGCTCATCTGGCATTTCCTCAAGCAAGAAACCTCCTCCTGTGTCTTTGAATTTTGTTGCTCCAATTTTGATTGTGGTGGTATCCTCAGAATAAACAGCCCTGAAGAAAACCAGCATTAAAGCTAATATTATCCCATGGAATCGTATATAATTTTACCCTTTTGAATATGGATGAGACACAAGTTTACTTCTTTTCAAAATTATGGCCTTTTCCCTGTTTCTTTGAATTTGCTTTTTCACAGCTGAAGACAATTCCTCAGATTCTTCTGACATGATCCAGGCCCCAGGGGATGTGACAGATTTTTGGTGACACTTGATCTAATCTTTATTCTCTGGATAATATGGCCTGTAATCTAATTATTCTCAAGTTTCTATTCAATACTCATAACTCAAAAGTTCAAAACTCAAAATCACTCTTGTCATGTACCTTATCTTGACATAAGGAAAAATCAAGATTTCTCAGTTCTCAGCTACTGCCTTCAGCTTCAGCAGTTCATTACTTTCAGCAGTTCAGCACTTTCAGAGCGTGACTTTGTGGTTCACTCGTGGTTGACTGGTTGTGGTTATCATAATAATAGAGATGTATAGAAAATCATACACGCAGCTGCAGAAAGATGGAAATAAGTAGATGGGGTTACTACTTTCTCGACCTCTCGACAGAGATTGTAATCTCTCCCGAGAACAATGTTTTCGGCGGTTTTCGGATAGATGGCGACATTGCACAATTATGACATCTATTTTTCGCAGATTTTTCGAATTTAGAGTGAAATGAACCAACTTTGACATATTTTTCGTGTGCCTTAAATGCCATTTGCCAATTTATTTTCACTCGTCACATGCCTAGTTGCCTAGAGGCTATAAACATCTTAATCAATAGCTGCAGGCTGCAGCTACCAGCTAATATGCAGCCATACAACCAACTTCACAGTTGTGTTGTGAATTAATAATCATTATTTATGATGCATGATCTGCATGATGCATGGAGCTTTCATCCTTTACTTTGCTATGCTATAGTTTTTTATTTCAGAATCTATTATTAGGTCTTATGGTATATACTCGTCGCAATGCTATAAATACTAAATAGTGTAGTATACTGAGTGTACATGTCTGACAATCAATTGCGGCGACTCCTGACCACATATTTCCTGACTCCTTCGATTTTGTGAGGTTAAATAAATATTATTGAGGTCACATACCTAAATGGAAAGGTTTGTCAAAAAGGGGCGATTTGATTTGAATTCCAAAGTTTTATAACTCATCTTCCACAGTGTTGACAACACAAGAGTCTGTGTTTATTTTTTGTCTAGTAACATCAAACAAATTATGTCTTACCCACAACCAAATCAGGGACAGTATCCTACGCCTTACAACGGTAAGCATAGAAATTTTGTAATTGTATCCTATCCTCCAAGTATCTCTCCAACGTAACTTCTAGGCAATAATCCACCTGCACCAGGCCAAGGTTATGGCCCTCCTTCTGCTCCTGGATATGGTCCACCTCCTCCAGGATATGGCCATCAACCTCAGGGCTTTCAGCATGTTCCCCAGTATCCTCCTGGCCAAGGACAGTACCCACCAGGGCATGGTGGGCATTATGGTGGGCCAGTGACCAACCAACCAATGGGACAACCAAATGGTAAGTGAAATAATCAACTTCTGATCAGTTAAATTACCACCATTGGCTATTATCATCAGAGGATATAAAATAGTATAGATATAGATTCATCATTAGTTGATAAGCTATGTTATAAGACAAATTTGGAACCTTATTTCACAATGTTTTAGTGCACTTTGGTGATTCAGTCCAATCAGTAGTGTCATTCAAATTATCATTACTATACCCAGTTGGATAGTCTTATTTCTGAGATCATTTCATTATCTGATTTTTCACTCAAGTAGTGTCATTCAAGTAGGTATGCTATTGATGGTTAGAATCAAGGTTAGAATAGATTAGTATCATGGTATGGAATTGCACCTCAGATTGAAATTTGTATTGGATCAAAAATGTCTTAAGTTGAAATTTCTGATCAGTTGAACTTGGTATCTTGTTTTTGTCACCATTGGATAATCTCTAGTGCACTTTGGTAATTCAATCTAATCAGTAGTGTCATGGGCTCCGTGGCCGAGTTTGTCTATGCGCTGAAATTCGCTAGACAGCCGTTCACGATGCAGAGGTATCAGCTGAACATTTTTCTTTAAGAATGTGTGATTCATGGTTGTAATCCTGGCAGCACCTCGATGCCCTAGAAGTGGTTCGGATTCCACTATAAGCTGTAGGTCCCGCTCTTCCTAACCCCGCACAAGTTTCGACTTCTGGGGAGTTGGTTCCCAACTTTGAAGTAGCGATATACAAATTTTACAAATTTACAAATTCAATTTATCAATAGATATACAGATAAAATCTCACTAATATATTTTTTCTACTCACATAACTAAAATGGCATTTAGCGTACGGATAGGTACCACGCTAAATGATCGATTAATCACGGATTGTCGATCTGTGATTTATTCGAAATATTAAACACGTTACCATGGCAACAAGATTTCTTAAACACATTACCATGGCAATGCAGTTCATTAAACACAGCTTCGGTTATTTGAGACATGTCTGGCCTATCCATTGTATTAACTGTCAACTGTTATTTCAAAATATTGTATCAGAATTATTCAAACAATATCCGTTTGTATCAGAATTCTTCATTAAAAATATATGCGAAAGAATGTTCTAGTACTTGAATATCTCCAAGAAGTGTCAAAATGAAGCATCCATCTTTGAGAACAATTTATTCATTCTTCGCTAAGCATGACAATAAACGTGAAACAAAGGTTAGTAAGCAATGGACTGGACACATCTACAACCGATATCACTTATACGTCGTGTCTCGCTGGTTGCATGCAGTTGCATGTATTATGTTCTCAATTCCCATTCCTTTTGAATTGATTTGTAGGTTAGCAGGAATAGCAGGTATGTTAATGTAATTTTCGGAGTTCGTAGAAAAATCATAGTATGTAACGCGTTTATAAACTCTTCTAGACACTCGTTTATTAAACACTCGCTCCGCTCTGCTCCGCTCGTGCTTAAAATACTCGTTACTAAAAGGACGTTTATAACACTTGTTACATAATATACTATTATTGCATTGTAGTGTTCATAGTTTTATTGGATTCAGAAAATTGTGTACAGTATAAAAATCCAGACAAAAATGTAACTACCTCTATACAGGGTGTTCTATTTGGAAAATAATGTACATGTACACAAAAAAATGTACCTACTCTACAGGATGTCCTTTGAAAATCAAAAGTTGCTACTTTTGCAAAGGTGATGTGCAAACAATTTAATCAAAAAGAAAAAAAAGTAATTCCATCAGTCTGTTTCACCCTGCATAAACAAATATAGATAGCAATAATAATACAAATAGGTGTAGAAAGAGATTGCATTATCAATTAAGATGTTGTAAATTCATAAACCTTGAGGCAGGTATGTATATCAAATATGAATGGGTTATTTAAATTACCTCTACAGTTATTAATTCAAGTACCAAGTACCTAATGAAAAATATCTGGAATTATTTAGACTAGGTTATGCTTGAATGAACTAAAAAGGGAACATCTAAAAGGCTCATCAATTTCACCTCGATATTATACAGGGTGTTTGAGATTTAAATGTACATACAATATCTGCAGATAGAGGATACTTTGATGGTTCCAAATCACCCCCATTGATGTGCCTACCGTCATATACAGGATGTTATTTTGATTATGGCAAAATTCTCATCTGGTCATAATTTTTGAACCACTGTATATTCATACTTGGTAGAAATATTCTACTTATATATATAATATATTTTTTTTAGGAAAAACTAATTTTATTATTAAATGTAGAATATACAATATACCATATAATACAATACACATCAAATTGATAAATGAACTATACAACACAATTTTTATATTATACAATAAAACATTTCAAGAAATGTTTTTATTATTAGTAATTCTAATCAGCTCCAAATCGGCTAGGTTAGCGTAAACAAAACAAGGGTTCGTAATGGGCGGATTTGGGAATTGAAGTATTCATTTAGTTTCACTTTGAATAATGAATAACCCTCTTAATTTTTTATTTCCATAAGTATGTTATTGTATTCTCTTATTGCTTTAGAAATTGGGTTGATCAATGCTACTGTAGTCCTAACTTGTGGTAAGTAAATTTGGTTTTGTGCTCTTGTCTCACGAAGATGTTTTTACGAGGGGTAAATCACTGCGAAAAAAATTGTATATCAAACTTCCCAAACTTCCTCGAACTTCCTTAAACTTCCTCGAACTTCCTCAAACTTCCCCGAACTTCCTCAAACTTCCCCGAATTTCCTCAAACTTCCCCAAACTACCCAAACTTCCTCGAACTTCCCCGAACTTACTCAAACTTCCCCGAACTTCCTAAACTTCCTCGAACTTCCTAAACTTTCTCGAACTTCCTAAACTTCCTCGAACTTCCCAAACTTCATCGAACTTTCTAATCTTCTCGAAACGTTTCAGACTCCACAAACCAAGTATAAGCAATTCAATATTTATCGATTCAAAATTTGTTCCTTTCCCTATGGTAGGTAGGTATCTCGGTAGGTATATACAGTGTAGTCCGGTTTGTAGTACAAAAAATTCAACAGTGTGTTGTACTCGTTGAGATAATGAAATACTTTTAAACGCGTCGATTTCGAGATAAATAGGGTGAACGAGTCTGAATATTCTTATTTGATGAAGAGTTCGAAACGGTCTGAGATAAATCAACAAAATTTCTAACAGATACTAAACTCTTTACGCTCTTTCAAATATCGAATCATATGAATAAAAAATGATTATTATTGGATGCGGTTCATGGATGTTGAAATAGAAACTTGCCTGAATATTTTTGGCAACGTTCGTAGTTGGATTGCAACATATACGTTTTGTTTCCAAATAGAAGTTTTCTCAGTAGACTTCATTCACATCCCCACGTTACATGGGTTATAATCAAGACCTGGAATGCCAAACACTGTGCTGCTCGGACCTTAAACTAAGTATCAATTTGAAATTCGTATCGTGAGACGAACATGGAATGAGGAGTCTGCATATCGTTTTCAATATTCGTAACTGGAATGCGATATATTTTTGTAATTAATTAATTAATTAATCAACTATCTCAATGAAGACGAGGCAGGCAGGTAAGCAACAATTTTCTCTGCGATGGAAAACACTGTATATACCTAACCCATCTAGCGCCTACCTCCTTTGCAGAGAGGGTTTATGAACGCAAAGTTGGTACTCTCCCCTCGCAAGGGTACCTTTCGTGTTTCCTTAGAGACATGAAGGTGAATATCTGCCTATCTGTTTGCTTGAGAATCTGAAAAAAAAAATCAATATATCGCCCTCCGTACGAACATAGTGATCTGAATTTGAAGAAGTATACTCTGTCATTTTTCTTTGTGAATCGTTCCTCCGGTTCGGCTTGACTGGATGGCTTTATCGGATTTTGTTTCAAGTATCAAACACTGTGCTTCTCGTATCTGCAACTGCACATCACATATCATAATTGAATCATATGAATCAAAAATGGTTATTATTAGATGCTGTACATGCATGTTGAATTAGAAACTCACCTGAATATTTTTGCAACGTTCGTAGTTGGATTGCAACATATAAGTTTTGTTTCTAAATAGAAGTTTCCTCAGTAGACTTCATTCACATCCCCACGTTACGTGATTTATAATATAGACCTGGAATGTGCTGCTCGGACCTAAAACTGAGTATCAATTTGAAATTCGTATCGTGAGACGAACATGGAATGAAGAGTATGCATATCGTTTTCATCATTCGTAACTGGAATGCGATATATTTTTGAAATTTATTAATTAATCAACTATCTCAATGAAGACGAGGCAGGCAGATAAGCAACAATTTTCTCTGCGATGAAAAACACTGTATATACCTAACCCATCTAGCGCCTACCTCCTTTGCAGAGAGGGTTTATGAACGCAAAGTTGGTACTCTCCCCTCGCAAGGGTACCTGTCGTGTTTCCATAGAGACATAAAGGTGAACATCTGCCTATCTGTTTGCTTGAGAATCTGAAAAAAAAATCAATATATCGCCTTCCGTACGAACATTGTGATCTGAATTTAAAGAAGTATACTCTGGCCCTTTTTTTGTGGATCGTTCCTCCGGTTCGGCTTGACTGAATGGCTTCATCGGATATTGTTTGAAGTATCAAACACTGTACTTCTCGGATCTGCAACTGCACATCACATATCAAATATCGAATCATATGAATCAAAAATGGTTATTATTAGATGCTGTACATGGATGTTGAATTAGAAACTCACCTGAATATTTTTGCAACGTTCGTAGTTGGAATGCAACATATTAGTTTTGTTTCCGAATAGAAGTTTCCTCAGTAGGCTCCATCCACATTTCCACTTAACGTGATTTATAATATAGACCTGGAATGCCAAACACTGTGCTGCTCGGATCTAAAACTAAGTATCAATTTGAAATTTGTATCGTGAGATGAACATGGAATGAAGAATCTGGATATTGTCCACAACATTCGTAACTGTAATGCGATATATTTTTGTAATTTATTAATTGATCAACTATCTCAATGAAGACAAGGCAGGCGGATAAGCAACAATTTTCTTTGTGATGAAAACCACTGTATATACCTAACCCATCTAGCGCCTATCTCCTTTGCAGAGAGGGTTTATGAACACAAAGTTGGTACTCTCCCCTCGTAAGGGTACCTGTCGTGTTTCCATAGAGACCTGATGGTGAATATATATCTGTTTGCTTGAGAATCTGGAAAATAAATCAATATATCGCCTACCTTACGATCATGGTGGTCTGAATTCAGAGAAGTATACTCTGGTCATTTTTCTTTGTGGATCCTTCCTTCGGTTCGGCTTGACTGGATGGTTTTCTCGGATTTTGTGTCAAGTATCAAAAACTGTGCTTCTCGGATCTGCAACTAAACATCTCATATCAAATATCGAAGCATATGAATCAAAAATGAGTATCATTAGATGCAGTACATGGATGTTGAATTAGAACATTACCTAAATATTTTTCTGCAACGTTCGTAGTTGGATTGCAACATCGAGTCAAATCAAATCACGGTGATTCCAAAAATCAAATAAAATGTAGGGTGATCCATTAGAAAAAATTGTCGCGGTTGCCTTAACTCAAACGTGGATCACCCTGTATATGCGATTTTCCGTTTTGAATGTGGCATATTGAAAATTCCTGAGAAATCTGCAGTAATCAGGCGAGACAATAGACAGTTTTTCGCCGAGGTGCATATTATATTCTTTCGTCGACCTCAAACACTTCCTTTTTCGTGAATAATCAATTTGACAACAGCAAATGACAGTTGTTGTCAACTCACTCTCCGCGTGGACCAGGGTTGCCAGTTCGAATTTTATTTCATCAGTAAATACCTTGTAGAAAATTCAGGTATATTTTATGCTATACGAATTCCAAGCAAGGATAATGAAATGAATCTATGACATGACGTCACATCATTATGTACATTCAGTATACAGAAAAGAATCCTATGTCCAACAAAATAGAAACAAAGTAAAGAAACATTCTCATTAAAAATATTCTCAATTCAAAAATACTAACAAATATCACAAACTACAGTTACATTGGTAATTAAGATTAATATTTGAGTACCTATGTAAAGAATAGGAACGTATAGTAAAAATGAAAAACAAGAATACAAAAAAAAATAATAATAATAAACGTAAGAAACAAACTGTTATAACGAAGGTATATAATTAATTGAATTTGATCTGAATCAAATGAAGTATTGCCCTTTTCTGATTTATACATATTTATCATTAGTACCTATATGTACATTTATTACTCATTTTGTAAAATTAATTCAAACAGAGCCTGCCGAAATATCATGCAATTTATAAGTAAGTATATGTGATTACTAAAAATTAATAATAATATAGGTAATTATAATAATAAATAAGTGTCAAATTATTGTATCAGTAGGTTATGAAATGTTCCAGTAGATCAGTAGATCAATATGCAAATCAAGAAATTTACTGAAAATTCAGTAGCACTGGCAACCTTGCAGCGGACAAATAGTGTTTGCGGACGAAAAGTCTGTTGGGAATGACAATTACCAGGATAATCAATTCCTTCCGTGTATTTTTCAATGCCTATCACAAAATTCGACGTACGTGATGACATCTAATATGGGACTGCCTTGATTCACTAATGGTCCCGAATGAATGACTTATAGGTTGAATCATGCTGATAACCGATTGATTTCCGAACAAACAATTCATCTATGACTAATGATCATGATGAAATTATACGGGGGAGAAATATATACAGCGTTTTTCACGATGAGGGTTATCAGACGTTTCTGGCAAACCAATATAAAAATTTGATGGTATGTATACATTGGCATGATCCAAACGCATACAATATTTTATTCGATGCTGCGTTGCCGCTTCTGTTAGGGAGTAGAAGCAACTATGATTTCTCATATGGAATATTCTGTATTCCATTGCATTTTTAGATTATCCCTGAATATCAGATTTCATCAATGTATCGCACTTGGAGTCTAGCAGGGGTGATTACGAAGATATAGGGTGTTCAAAATAGAGACTTTTCAATTTTAGGATATTTTTGTGTCGAAACTATTCATTATCGGTCAAAACACCTTACGTGTTCCTTTTATAACTATTGATCCACTATCCACTGACATTCAATTGGAAAAACTACAGGGTGATTTAAGTATCTGTTCCAATTAAATGTCAGTAAATAGTAACTCAAAAATTAAGACAGAGACATGGAAGCCGTTTTGACACAAAAGAATCCTAAAATTGAAGAATCTTGATTTTGAACACTCTATATCGCTGTAATAATCCCCGCTAGACCCCAAGAGTGATGCATTGATGAAATAAGATCTTCATGGGGAATATAAATATGCAATACAGGGTGTTCCATTTGAAAATTCGAAGTTGCTTCTACTTTCTAGTAGAAGCGGCAACGCCGCATCGTTAAATATATAATTCATACATATAGTAAAATTTTTAGATCCGTCTAATTAACGTTCATCGTGAAAACAGGGAAACTGGACGATGAAAAAAAAATTCCTAAAATGTGATAAGGTGCCCTCTAGTGAACATATTCGATTTTTCAAATTTCAGGAATATAGCTAGAAAAATGAAGGAGAAATGGGGTTATACCATGACTGTGTCACTATATCACTCATAATAAAATAATGAAAATAACACTCACCAGTGTATATAAAATGGTCCACTTCTACTATTTCATTGTTTGAATTTTTTTATTTTCAGCAGGAAACACCAAAACAACACACGATCGCGATTATGTAATTACCGATTTGAATGAGAAACACAAAAACACAATACTATCACTCATTTTCTAGTGAACACTCTGTTTGGAATAATTATTAATTATTCCTTTTGCGTATTTTTCAATGCCTGTCACAAAATACGACCGTACGTGATGACATCTAATATGAAACTGTCTTGATTAACGACTAATCCCGAATGAATGACTAATAAGTTGATTCATCTATGACCGAGTCTATGACTAATGATGATAATGAAATTATACGGTGGAAAAATATATACATTGTGTTTGGTTCACCGACGTATATCTGGGTGGTATGTGATGGGATTCTGAAAATATTTAAACATATTTTCTGTTATACAAAGTGTTACATTTTTAAAGAAATCATCGCTGTAATAAATACGAAGTTGTATGTTACAGAAACTCGTTTTCAAAATTCTGACAAGCCAAAAAAGTTTTTATCACATTTGTATCCCATTACTTGTTCAATATCTATGAAAATCGTATTCAACTCTTGAAAAAGAAGAAATTACAATCAGATGAAATGTTCGATCAAACGGAGATATCTCAAAGTTCGTAACACTTTGTATAATATTTTATATGGTTAAATATGTTCGAAATGTTCTTACCTATCAGTCCCTTTCAGATATACGTCGGTCAACCAATCACCCTGTATACTATACGGAATACCAGATGAAGAATTGAACACGGAGAGTGGTTGCATTGCTTCAACATGATAATATATGTAATTCGAATTTCCTTTGCTTCTTTGGGCCATGATATTTTTGTCACAATGAAACATGCTTTTAATTTGGCCTTGAATCTTCCTTATCGGGAATCACCCTCTATAGATATTTCTGTTATCAACGAATTTTATTTACAATATAATTATATGCATCAGTTTCTGTTGTTTTGAAATTTTTAGCATTTTATAATATAATAATATGAAACTGGAACCATTCAGAAGCATTCAGTATCCACCACAATCACTGTTATGATACTCCCATCAACAACTTTAGGATATTCATTGATTAATTGGTTGCTTGGAAAATCTAACATGAACAATAAATGTACAAGATTGCATCTGATTTAAACTTCTTATGAAACTTATGAAAGGGTAAACATTAGATGTTTACTGAAGATATTTTAAATATGTGGGTATTGTAGTGCAAGATAAGAAAAATCAAAGATAATGAATTGTTTGAATCAATGTCACGATAAAATGCCTTATAGAAGAATAAATTTAGTTCAGGAAGATGAAAAATGATGTGTTATTGGTCATCAGACATTGTGTTTTTCACATATAATAATTATTAAACTTATCATGCTCCCCATAAGATAGCTAGTGATTTATGTTCAACAAAACAATATTGTGTTTCATCAGTATTGAAAACAATGCCTGAGAAGAAAGTGACTTTATGGGTCAAATCGCAATCAGTTTTCAAAAGAATAAGAAAGTTTTTCAAAAAGAAATCCCCAAAAAATAGGGGGTACACCAAGTTCTATACTGAAGAAGAACAAAGGTTTGTTACTATCTATTTCTGAATTGAACATTCCACAAGGCAGAGGCACCCATGAAATTCCATCAATTTCTGAGTAACAAATTATTATTATTGTTGTTTCAATTTTAGGTGGTTGGATGAATATGCCTCAAGGCATACCCAGTTGCCCGCCTGGCTTGGAATACCTAACTATGATTGATCAACTTCTAGTGCACCAGAAAGTCGAAATTCTTGAAGGTAAGACAAACAATATATCAATTCACTTGATCCAATGAGAACATTGTAAGACTTCTTTGAATGGGCGAGTGGACTGGCATTCAATTACTCCACTGTATCATTAGGGACCTGGATTATTTTTTGCAAAACTTACGCGTTTTTTATATAAATGTGTCTATGCGTTGTTTGAAGTTGTTGGATTTCAAAGCTCATTTCAAACGTGCCGTCATGGCCGCCATTTGGTCATGTTCTGGGATACGTCAGATATTTGGTGACATCAGTTCTAATGCTGTTTCATTATTGGTCAGATAATCTTTCATTTCCATTCATTCATTTATTTATTTGTTTTTTATTTATTTGATAAACCGATTCACCTTTACAATAGAAGGCATAAGGACAATAACATCACAGCATCAGCAAATGAAATTCAACAATAAAATAAATTTAACTTCTTGTAAACACTACAACTTGTTGTTGAAACCATTTCCTATTTACAGCTATTAGGTTGAAAAATTACATTATATAGATATTATAATATCAACTAAATTAATGGTGACTGATTAAACTATGATCAATTTTACAAATTCTATTTTTAAATATGGCTAAAGACAGAACGAACGGGTCAATGTTAAATGCATTGAAATTACGCAAAATGCGGCAGAAAGGGCTGAAGAACCCATAGTTGGTTCTATGATTATTTATAACATGAAGCATTGTTGTCAAGTCACCAATTATGAGCACATTATTACAAATTTATACCCAAATTAAATATTTCATTTGACCTAACAGGAGGAAACCATGTTATTATAGTTATTGATAAGTGACTTTTTGGAGCAACCAGCTTGCTAAAATATTTCATATACTCCATAACAAAACATCATGTAAATGTTCGCTATGCTAGAGACTTGGAAATGCTGTGCTAAATGCTAAATGCTGAGAACTGACAAGCCAATGCCCACAATCTTGTGTAGTCACGTTTACCGTCGAAATCTCCTCTAGTGTGAAGTAATATGATTATTATTAACACAAATTCATCAAATGCTATAAGACACAACATATAAGAGGGAAAACTACTAGGCAATGGATTTTTTATAGCTTATTAGAATATCACTAATACATAATTGAGAATATATTTATTATAAAATAATTCATTCCTGAAGTTCACATTCGTATTTCAACATATGGCAACTGTGCCCGTACTCACGAAATCGTGACGTCAGTTCTTATTTGCGTTAAATTTCTAGCCGCCTGAAAATTACCGTGGCAATATTGACGATTTAGCACCTCAAAATCGACCGAAAAAAATCTAAAAAAATATGGAAATGAAAGGTGATTGAGTAATTAATTAAGAAATAAAAAAATAGTCCACTCGCCTATTGCCCAAATATAAAATTTGTCAATTTTGCCACACTCAAGTCATTGTTAGACAACTAGGTATTCAAAATTTGTAATAGGCGAGTAGACTATCTTTTGTTTATTACTTAAATCGAATCATCACTCAAATACCTTTCAATTCAATAGTTTTTTCGAATATTTTGGTCGATTTTAAGGTGCTAAAATCATCAATAATGCCACGGTAATTTTCAAACGGCAGACCATAGCACAGTTGCCATATGTTGAAATACAACTGGGAACTTCAGAAATATTAGTCATTCAATAATTCATAAATTCTCAATTATGATGTCCACATATGTGTTGTGGCTTATTGCTTGATTATAATACATTTGTATGAATAATAATTATTATAATGCACACTAGAGGAAATTTGAACCGGTGAACGTGACAACACGGCGCACGAATTGTGGGCGGTGCCTTGTCAGTTCTCAGCATTCAGCACATTGTTGCCAAGTCTTCAATATTCACATGATATTAGTTGCGTTTAATTAATCCTATTCCGCCAGCTTAATCACTTCAATGTGTCGTTTTATTTGCAACTATTCTGATTACGGTTGCTACTACTCATTCCGTCTCGCTACAAGGAATAAATTGGAATGACTGTTGACAGTTGTCAAAAATGACATTAGATTGACAAAAAACAAGACTTTTTGAAAGTGGAAGACACCAAGTTTTTGATTCTTTCAGTAGGACAAGTTCCATATCTTCATTCCCGGATGAAATTGATTCTTTCGATTACGGACAACTTTCTTCAATCACCGGAATATCTGCTCCAAATATGCGTTGATTTATTTTCTCAATTTTCAACTCTAACACTATAGGGGTATTCCTGGTCCTCGTATAATGCTTCGTATTATCGTATTTTCGTATCGTCGTATTCAGCAAACTAATCTGATTGGTCGATTAGGATACGCGGTCCTTAGTAACTTTACACTACCATTTTCTTGTGTAAAATTACAAAATTGCCGTTCTTACGAAACTGTTCTGACAGAATTTTGTCCCGTGTCCCGTGTTTCAAGTGGTGAGGTTAGGGTTATTGTTATTATTCAAAATTATGATTAACGAATTTTTATTGTTTGAGCTGCGTGGCCTGAGCATAAAGCACAATATAAATACCTCGTATTATTGTAACTAATCTCTGGTACTGAGCATTTTGATTTGGATAAAGGTATTTTAAACATGGCAAGAATAAGAACCAAAACTATGTGTCAATCTTGGAGAAGGACTTGAATTATTGAAATTGTATTTTCAGTCATACAGTTCTAGCTCTGTTTCCAAGACAGATGATGAATTTGAATTTTTCAATTTCGCACTGGAAGTTTCGGAATAAGCTGACAGTTTACATTGCTATACATGGGTCGTTCCCGTGTTTGAGGTTTCGTAACAATACGTAGGCCATTTTCGTAAATATACGAAGTCAGATACGAGGGCTCCGGAATACCCCTAATGATTTTGAAATTATTCGTAGCCCCAATAACCTCTTTCATCTCTAATGTGCCAGTTCTCTTATGCAACGTCATGAAGCATGAAGTTTCTCGTTTTATTTGTAAACGTCATTCTGTTACCACCACCGTTACCAGAATGGAACAAATAAAACGCCACCATTATGTTTTGAAGTATAAGAAATATTTGGAGATGCTGGTTGCTCGAAAAAGTCAAGAATGAACTATACTATCATGATTCCTCCTATTATATTTCATCTCGTGTTTTATTCAACGACAGGAGTGGCAACACTCATATCTTTTTGATAACCAGATTGACTTGACAACCTTGCTTCATGTGTGGAAATGGAAGATTTTCTGACCAATAATGAAACAGCATAAAAGCTGACATCACCATTTATTCCACATATCGCCAAATGGCGGCCACGGCAGTACGTTTGAAATGAGCTCTGAAATTCAACAATTTTGAACAACGCAAAGACTCATTATTTATATAGAAAGAGCGTGAGAGGTGTTGCAAAAATTAATTTAGGTCCTTAAAGACACATTGGAGTAATTGAATGCCAATAATTCATTATCAGTCCACTAGACCTATTATGTTTCTCAGGCTCCAATTCTTACCCCAGAAAGACTTGTTGTTGGATTACATTATTTCTCATAGTTATAGCATTGTAATATTTTACGAAAAGATGTCATTTTGTAATATAGAGTACCTAAAGAATACCAGGAAACCATGAATTTCCTTTTAAAGTGGGAGAAATTCTCATAACGTTAACTTTTGTTTCTAGTGACAAAAGTTAAGTCCCTTGTAGCCATCTTAGTTAAATTCATTCATCATTTCCCGCCTTCGTTTGTAATGTTTTGACGACTTCAAATTATTAATAAACAGAGACAGGAAAAGAATCATTTCTATAATTAGAATGTATTTTTTCACATTTCTTCAATTGAAAAGCAAAATAAAAACGTAAAAATAATTTTATGATGAACGGCGTTGTAGAACATTTTTTGAAGCTGGTGAACATTACTAGCTCTCGCTTCAAAAAATTTTACTCTTGTCAATGTAAAATCATATACTATTGTTGCTTACAATGTTCTTAGCTGTGATTATTTATATAATTATGGTTCTCATAATGATATTTCATTATTCAGCTTTAACTGGATTCGAAACGAAAAACAAATTTACCGTCAAAAATAGCTTAGGTCAAAAAGTATATTACGCTGTTGAGGACAGTGACTGTTTGACAAGGAACTGTTGTGGTCCCCTAAGGCCATTTGATATGAAAATTTTGGACAACTATAGCCATGAAGTCATTCATCTCCAGAGGCCTTTAGCTTGTGATTCTTGTTGTTTTCCATGTTGCTTACAGGTGAGAACAGCACATATGATATAGTGAGTGATTCTGAACTTGAAAGAAGGCCGTTAATGTAGTGAAAAAAGGATTCATAAAAATACAGTGCGGGACTCTTGAAATTCATAATCCTATTTTGACAATAATGTTCCTGGAATATCGTGCGTACCTAGGGAGGTGTTGGAATTATTTTTGATCCCTTGGGGATTATAAGTTCTTGGGATTACTTCCATTGGCAAATATTTCAAAAGCTGCGCCGTTCTATAGACGAACCAGTTTTGGTAGTGTTGTTCGACATTTTTCAAGGTTAACGACGAAGGGATGTGCTGCGTGGGCGATAACGAAAAAAATTCAAGGCTTGCTGTGTTAAGTTTCTGGGGTGAAATTCTAGAAATTGATTCCATAATTCTTTATTAAGAGATATGAATCTATAACTTTATTGGAATAGAATAGTATTTATTTTCTCAATAATGTTACCTATTCAGAATGTTGGGCACGTCATTAAAAATATGGTTTCATATACAGTATGACCCACTTGAAGGCATAAAACTTCTAAAACTATCAGAAGCTTTTGTACAATAGGTACCTACTTTTTGACACAAAGAACCAATGCTCATTGCTTATATTTTTGAAACGGTGGAGATTCAAAGTTTCCGTAAAAAGATCGCTGATTTCATTCTTTCAAGTTTTCACCCCTAAAAATTCACACATAACAAATGTATTTTTCTGGAGTAGGTAGCATTATACATGAAAAATATACCATAATTTGCATTACTCTTCATTCGCTCAGCCTAAAATTCACAAAAAAATATTCTGAGGAAAAGTGGACCATTGTTTTTCACCATTTTGAAAGAAAAAATAATGTACCGCATCACTAGCACATTTTACACGGTCTTCTATGATCGGTCATTGGAGCGAGTTTTGCTTATACGTTGTGTACATAATTTTCAAGTATTTTTGGAGAATGAGACGTTTTTGTTATCATGTTGAATGACAAGTAAAACTGCAACTTTTTGTTTCCTCGAAGAATTGATAATTGATTTGATTGTTAAACGTTTAAGATCAAGGTCAAGAGAATCAAGTTGTCATAAGCAGATAAATCCAATTAATTTTGACTGTTCAATATGTAAACAAGGTTTCGTCAAGCAGAAGAGCAGTTTTATTAATAAACCGCCAAATGATTGCATGGTTGAAATCACTAAAATGTCAGCTTTTGGCATGTGAAGAAGGTAATCAGTGATGAAGCCTTCGGGTAATTCATAATTATTGCATAGCCATAGATGGAGGCTAGAGTGTCATGAATTATGCAATTAGTTGCGTTTTATTTGTCCGCTTCCGCCATCGGAATCACTTCAATGTGTCGTTTTATTTGCAACTTTTCCGATTCCTGTTGCTACTTTTCATTCCGTTTCACTACAAGGAATGACGTGGAGTGACTGTTGACAGTTGTCAAAAAAAAAACAAATTAGAATGACGAAAAACGAAACTTTTTGAAAGTAGAAGACATTTAGAAGACATTTTTATCATGAGGTTCACAAGTTTATGATTCTTTCAAGTAAGACAGGTTTCATATGTTCATTCCCAAATAAAATGAATTCTTTTCTCAGAAAAGTTTCTCCAATCATCCCAATCACTGCTCCAAATATTCGTTGATTCATTTTCTAGATTCTTGACTCCAGTATTATGATTTTGAATTTATTTGGGGCCCCAATATATAAATATATCCTCTATCATATAATATTATTACAAGTCAATTTTCTCATACAAGTTCATGAGAAGGATGTCATGAATTTACTTGTTTTATATGTAAACGTCATTATGTTCCCACCACCACTACCAGAATGAAACAAATAAAACGCAACTATAATGGCTCACAATGTATAGTCAGATGCAATGGTGATAGCACCAATAGTTACTTTTGCAATAAGAGCGCTAACACCATCCAACCGCAACATGTTATTTGCATCTGACTGTACAAATGAAAATTGTATACCCAGTTATCATCCATCAACTGTCTGAATTTACTGAAATTGTAATTCTCAGAGCATGGAAGTCTCGTCGCCTCCTGGAACAATAGTGGGCACAGTCGAACAAGAGTGGAGCATATTTTGTCCCACATTTGCGATCAAAAACTCTAGTGGGGACACGGTACTCAGAATCGAAGGTCCTTTGTGCACGTGGAGCATCTGTGGTGATGTTGAATTCAAAATAATGTCTGGCGATGGGAATGTCCAAGTAGGAAAAATTTCCAAACAGTGGTCTGGGTTGGTCAGAGAAATGTTTACTGATACAGATTACTTTGGAATCACTTTCCCTATGGACCTGGACGTCAAAATGAAGGCTGTTATGTTGGGAGCATGTTTTTTAATTGTGAGCAAAATAAACAAACACATTGAAAACAGGAATAATGATAATATACAGGGTGATCCACTTGATAATTTAAAAGAAAGGTAATGTCCAGTTCATTTGAAGGAAATTACTGTATAGAATAAACATAAAGAGAACTTGGAACCAGAAAACTTATCCTCTACTTTCATGACAATTTTGGTAGTTATAAATGTTTCTGTGATATCTAAAAATCATGATTATTTTTTGCCTCGACCTCTACGAATAATCACATTTTACATTAAAATTTCCGAACGAAAAAGCGACTATTTCCGAAGGCAAGTACTTTTCGTCCGCTAACACTTCGTCCGCTGCAGTGTTGCAAGTTCTACTGAGGTTTCAGTATATCTCCTTATTTGTTTTATCGCTTGGTGCGCACAAAGGGAATCCCTATAATGTTCGAAGAACATCGTGCGTATCTAGGGAGGATAGAGAGAGGAGGTAGGTGTTGGATTTTTTTTGAACTTTTGCAGTATAACTTCTCTGGATGGAATCTGGAAGCATCAGAATAGAATATTTGCATATTGATATTTGAATACTGATCTATACTGAAACATTTTATAATCAACTGAAAAATATTTTGACACTTATTTATTATTATAATTACCTATTTTACTATTAATCTTAAGTTTATCACATGCACTTATAAATTGCATGATATTTCGACACTCTCTCTTTGAATTAATTTTACAAATTAAGTAATAAATGTTCATACATATAGATACTACCCAGGCAACCAGATGACGTTCCAGTGACGTCATTTTTACGTCACTTGAATGACCAGGATGACGTCAGTAATTGACGTCGTATTGACGTGATAATGACGTGAATAAGTCACAGCCCAATGACGTCATATTAATCACGTCGTATTGACGTCAAAATGACGATTGAATTTGGCGATGATACGTAAAAAAGATTCCTTTAACATGGTGTGATAAACACCACTAGCCTCTGATGACACTATATAATATTGATTATGCATTGTTGAGTCTGCTTGGTGGGTCCCTCCTGTGTCATGTTCATTTAATCGCATATTCAGCAGCGCCATCCTTCAGTACGCATCTATCCATCAGAATGCAATCAGTTACTCGTATTTGTAACAAAAATTATGTAGTTTGTGTCGGCGAGCAATGGAAAGGATGTTGGCGAATTTGGCTTCTTATTGTTGAATAATATTGATGCATTCTTTGTCATCCAACAAAAATCTGAATAGCGAATTATTGAAAAATTTACTAAATGACGAAGCTCACCAAATTGGTACGTCAAACCGACGTGATTTTTAGACGTCATAGATACGTCACTGCAACGTCATAAGAGTAACGGTTTCGATATAGGTATACCTAAACAATCACCTGGTCTGCTTGAAGAGTGAGTTGGCAACAACTCATTTGCTGTTGTCAAATTAATTATTCACGAAATTCTATAGATTTCACGTTTAAATAGGACCGTGATGTGAGAATATAAGTGTATTGAGGTCGACGAGAAAATGTAATATGCAATACGCTTCAACTATAATAGACAGTTTCTCGTCCTTGGTACATAAATAGCTATTATTTGTGCTAAAGCATACTTTTGGATGTTCCTACTAGGTACATAAAAACAAATTTCCAAAATTTTTGTGACATATTATTGGGGTGTTCTTAAGTGGATCACAATGTATGTGTATGATCATTATGATTATATAAAAGATTAAACACACTTCAGAAATTCACACCTTGAACATTTTCAACAAAAATCAAATCGTTTTATACAATTTACAAAACATTATGACAAAACCGAACATTGACCATGGCAATCTGATGAGGAAACAATTCAAGATTTGGCACCCGTGCAAATGTAGTCGTGCTTTGTTTGGGTTGAATCAAACCGGTTCGGTGAGATTCCAAGAATGCAAGGAATCTTTATGATTGACTATAAACTGGCCCCCATGATATTAACACAACATAACAATTCTTTGATGAAACCAAGTAGTATGACTGGCTCCAACCAAACTGCACTAGACTAGTACTAGTACCTACACTCATGACTTGGCTTCCGACAGAGCATTAGCCAGAGTATTGCCAATTTCAACAAGGGTGTGGTCTATCTAGAGTGTGTATAATCTATGATATATCAACATGACATTTTTTTTCTTTTTTCAGGATGCTATGTTCTTTGAAAAATCAGGCAACCAAAATTGATCCAGTGTTATTTGAATTTATGGCAGGTGGTAAATAACTCTTTCCAGTACCTACTCAATTACTTTTGGCATATTATGTTGTTTCAACCATTGTCAGTACACTGATTACCCTTTGATTTGATGACATCATCGAAATTTTGAGTATGGTACACCATACACACACAGTGTGTTCCGTTATCGATGCTTTTGAGTGATATCAGAGTTATCTTGGGGATACAGCCTTGCGGTTTTCGCGGGCCTGTGCCACTTTTTTGTGAAACTCAAGATGGCCCCCCTCTATATCTACGAAGTTTCTAAGCGAAAATGGCAAATTAAAATCTCAAACTTATGATTTTTTAAATGGGACACCCTATATTTTATAAGCTCATTAATTTCCTTATTTTTCCTCTTCAAAATGATTTATAATCTATAAAATCACTAAAACATTGAATTAATAGTTGGCTATGGATTTTTCATATAAAAAAGTTATAATTGAAGGAATATTTCTTTTGATTTTTCCATGGAGAGGACAAAACAATATCAACACTAATTAACTAACAAAACGAAAAACGTAGGTACCTGCTAGCAAAAAATAAATAAAAAGTTCATAATATAGAATAAACACCTGATTAAATATTTACTGAAACAATTGAATTTCGAAACTAGTCAATAACTTAACTAGTCAATTGGTCAAATGTATGTCTTAATTCATTCAAAATCATCGAAGGATTTCTTTGTAATTCCTGGAAAACTGCCTCTGTTGTTGCACAAAGTTCTCCAAGATTGTTGTGCCTTTTACTGTATCAGGACGTATTGAAAAAGTGTGTCAATTGTGTGTTAGGAAAAATGGACATAAATTTGAACAACTCAATGAATAAGTTACAAAATAATTTCTATATTCAATTGTATTAGTAAATATTTAATCAGGTGCTTATTCTACATCATGAACTTTTTAATACCATTCATTTGTTGCTATTTGCTATCAGGTACCAAAATTTCAAGTTTTGTTAGTTAATTAGTGTTGGTATTGTTTTTGTCTTCTTCATGAAAAAATCAAAAGAAATATATCTCCAATTGGACCTTTTTTTATGAAAAATCGATAGCCCACTGTTAAAATTCAATGTTTTAGTGATTTTTGGACATTTTTGAAATTTTCATATTTATAAATTATACCTATATCATTTTGAAGGGAGAAATAAGGAGTTCAATGAGCTTATAAAATAAAGGGTGTTCCATTTAAAACATTAGAAGTTTGAGTCGTATCTGCAAAACCATACCCCGAAAACAAAATTGAGTGCGCCACTGGATTCTTCGTAAAATTCTGTATGGTATAACATTTTAATTCGACATTTCGCTGAAAAACTTCCTAGATATAGAAGGGAATCGAAAAGTAAAAAAATTCAAAATCGCCCTGTATCTCATGAACAGAAACAGTTATGCAAAGTCTGATAAGGCCATCATGAATTTCACAATAAAGTGGCATAGGACCGCGAAAACCGCAAGGTTGTATGTCCAAAAATAACTGAGATATCACGCCAAAACATCGAAAACGGGACACAGTACAGTTCAGTGTGAACATTTTCAATATCTGTGTTTTCACCCTCGCTTTTCTTGAAACATTTTAGCTGTGGTTTATTTATATTTGTTTTCCAAGTAAGCCAACAGGGATTGTCATACCTAACCCTTATTTGAAAATGCAGGAAACTACTAATATTTGTAGGAAACTACTAATATATCTAGGAAACTACTGATATTTCTAGGAAACTACTAATATTTCTAGTTCCGGGAGTAAAAATAATCACTTTTATTTTGTTTTTCTGCATTTTGGGTCCCCATATTCGATTCAAGTTTAAAATTCGAATCATTATTTTTTTTACCCGAATATTCCATTTGATATCGATATCAGATTTAGTACACAAGTTTTGAGCTAAGTTAAACACAAAACAGTTAGCCAATGATCAAGAAAAGAGGAGTTTAGTAGCCACTGAACCCCATATGTTTCGGTACATACCTACATCAATTACTATAATTATGTACTTCGTTGGTATATGTATGTACATACCAACTGGCCATCGACCTTACGAGAGGTCCTTCAGCCCATGTGTATTCTGTGTATGCTTTGTTACTAACTCCATACGCCACCTTAGGATCAGCACTATTAATTGAAATGCGTCAGCGAATCGTGCGGAAACATCTCCGGCTACGAAAAGTTATAACTCGTTTTATGATAATTATTTGTTTTGGATGTAATTTGAAAGGTATTGATCCGTAAGCCACGTAGTCACAAGACCTATATAGACAATCAACGGTTAATACCCGTATAATTATCTCGAAATCGAATTATTTTGATAAAGATTGACGGAGGCTGAATTTTCACCAAATTAGGATGAGTTAATGAATCACTCTGACTGGATATAAACCTTCGATTTTGATTTTGATATAAAATACAGGGTGTTCCATTTGAAATAACGAAATTCTAGCCAACTTCCGGAATAAGCGGAAGACTTATTCGAGTTAGTAAATATTTTATCTGAGAAGCTTCCCATCGTAATCTTCCAATTCGGCTAACCAATGGTTTTCATAAATTAGCCTGTATAGATTTTGTTGGTACGTGTTTGTATACACCTGCTGGCCATGGACCTAACGAGTGGTACTTCAGCACATGTGTGTTCTGTGATGGCTTTGTTACGGACTACATATGCTAGGAGCAGTACGTTCAATTTTAACGAACGTATGGAATCATCTCCGGTCAAGGCTACGAAAATGAGAATTTAAATTATTACAACTCCGTTCTCCGCTGTGTCAGGCTTCAAAAACCAGCAGGATCCACTGCGCCATTCCAGCCATTCCGCTTTATTTCTTTATAAATCCATAAAGCCTTTATTATCATTATATGAGAGTTTATGGATCTGTACAGGAATAAAAGTAACACCGTTATAAAATGAAATATGGCTATAACATCATGGAATACCTCGTGCAATACATTGTATGTATGTACATTTAAAAAGAATATATTTTTTTATGTTGGTCATTTTATGAAACCATGATTGTAGAAATTCGAGATTATCCAATGCCAAAGCAAAATCGAACTGAATAATGGCCTTAAAAACGCTTAGACAACTGAAGTAGATTTTTCTGCTGAAAGATGTTTTAAAATGGTTTTCACAAGGTATATACTTAACAATAAAATATAGCAGAAAAGATAAATTATTTTATAGGAATATATGATGAAATCTTATCTTATGGTAACTATAATGGTGAATTTGAAAAATATGTTGATGTGATTCAAATTATATAATTGTTGAAGATCTCCCTATTTATATTCTAATGGATGTTAACAAAATATATCGGTGTTCTATATTGGCTTTATTGATAACCAAAATGGTTACCCATGTTTGAAAATGGGGTGACACAGGAGACATGTGTCTGTATAATTTTTCATTTATTCAGTACCTATTTTATTCTTCAGCACAAGGTGGTAGCATCCTTTGATAACCAGTTAAATATACAGTATGACAAGAATTATAAAGTTGGGACCACTAACATTTGAACAATCATGAATCAGGTTGGCTCCTCAGTTAAATTCCAAATGATGAAAAATAACAGGATGCCTCATGCTTTCCTTTTGTCACCCTATAAATGAAAGAGAGTGCATACAGTGTGAACAAGATAAGGTTGCACAACGTGGAAATCTCGGAAACGGGAGGAGATACGAATTCAGTTAAATGATGAATAAGTTGTGCATAAGGAAAGACATACCAATGGCCTTCGAAAATGTTTAAAAAAAATTCTAAGTTTATTTTTAGAAAATCTGAAAGACATACCAACGGCCTTCGAAAATGTTTGAAAAAAATTGTAAGTTTATTTTTAGAAAATCTATGTTTATTCTACATTAATATTACAGCAGAATCTAAGAACACAATCAGGACCCTATTTGAAAAAAAAATTAATGATGGTTTAACGAATATGAAACGTCCCGTAGAGAAATCAATATCACAACGTTAAATCTCATTGAAAGTATTGTTAGTTTCTCTGTATCTTCAATAATAACGAAGATAAAAAACACTTTTTTTCTATATAACCGAAAAACTAAAGGACGTTGGGTATGTCCCTCTGAATGTGCAACTTTTTTCACATTTCACATTTTTCCGAGATCCCCATGCTGTGCAACCTCATCTTGGTCACACTGTATAAACCATTGTTTTTCCGTCTCCAGTAGTTGAATATTTTTACTAAAACTTATATGGGCGCTGTGACTTGACAACTCACCTTACACTATTAACCTCTTATTGTTTAAATGTGAATGTGTTTTTTCTATATTGTGTCTTAATAAGTTTTCTTATATATTTATATCAGCTGCTTATTATTCCCCATTTATTGAATGTTAGGCACAAAAAATGAGCTATAAAAATGTACAGAATGGATATGGTGTTTTGTGCTTCAGATACCCTCACTTCCAAATACCTTTAGCAATAATTTTTTTTCTTCAATATCCTACTATTAATCCCTTGATGGCCTTGATTTTTTCCTGATTCTTGTCAATTAATTGCCCCAGTTGTCAACTATTTCATTGGGTACCTAATAGGTATATATATATTTGAATATTCCTTCAAACATTCTATTAGAAAATGAAAAGTTTTGACTCTCCAAACTGATATTTTCATTTTGCCAACTATATGAAAGATAGAATTAGCTCTTTATATTTTATTTCTACTTTGGAAGAAAAATTTATCCAAAGTCATAATGAAGCATCTCCAAGTGAACATGAACTCAGTTCAAAAGGAACTTCAAACATGCCCTGGCAGCAGTGCCAGAAATGCTCCAAATGACTTTGGATAGACTATACCTATGCTATGAAGTAAGTATATACATGATGACAAGTAGGTTTGTTGCAATATTCCTGATTTGAACTTCTCCATCATAACAACAAATTATTGAACCTTGTACCTACTACTATTCATTTTTTCTAAAAAAGGAAATATCTCTGAAAGGCCAAACTTTACAAACTGCTCTACTCCTTATAAGGCCTTGTGGAACTGGTCCATGGGACCTACTGTCCATGGAATTATTTTTGTTATCTCCTTCTAACCATACATGACCTAATGGGACCACTAGGAAGGAAGCAAACCCAGTTCTAATCTTATCTCCTGGTAGTCCTACCACCCTTTTACATATTTGTCGATTTGGATCTGTAGGACATTTGGCAATAACGATGTCACCTTTGTTGATTTCCCTTTTTAGAGGTGAGATGTGTTCAGTCAGAAGTATATCATCGGTGTGTATTGCAGGTTCCATGGAAGGGCCTGAGCACACTACAAAATCGACAACATATTCAAAAGTACAATGCACCAAACAGCCATATCTTATAAGATACATTGTAGAGTCCATCAGGTTGAAAAGTATTTTATTCATGTTGACTATTTATAGTAGAGTAGCCAATAGTGCAGTTCAGCTAGCATTGCCGTTGGAACTGTTGAGTGTTGCTGTTGAGACTTGACTACTTGACCCTTGACGCCTTGACCACTCTTGACTTGCCTTGAGACTTGAGCAAAGAGGTAACCTATATTCTTTGACTTGAGACTCTTGCGAGAGTAGTGCATAGATAAACTACACTGACAACAGTGACAGTGACAACTCGATAAGACAACCAGTGTTGTTCCTGGATATAATCATTTCGTACAAGATTTCCTTTGAAAAATTTTCTCCAGATTTCCATCAAAAGGTACTAGATTGAAAAAGTCTGACATTTGACATTGTGAATGACATTCTTGTCAAAACCTTTCAACATTTTTTACAAGAATGAGGCTAAGTCACAGAACTTATGACATAAATAAATAAATAAATAAATAAACAACATTGACTTATAGAGGAGAATCTAATCATCCCCTGAACACAGGAATAGATTTTCACAATATTATGAACCAAACAGCGAATAGTTATAGATTCATAACAAATTTTACTAAAAGCAAACAATAATTAAAAACAGCTGATAAACTGTCATCTGTCAAGCTTCCCAAGTAAACCGTGACGTCATAATAAAGTTACGTGACGTCATCATAAAGTTAACCTGGTTTGTCTGGTGAGGTTCGAGGAAATTGGTAATCCGACCTCGTCATATCAACCATAGGAAATTATACAGCGTGCTGCGATAACGAAGAGTGAATAGAGACTATTATCGAATATCATATTTATGATATGAACATTTTAAATCAATTTTTCACCATAATAAACCGTTTTGACATTTCATAATATCGTAAAATCCACCTTCGTCATATATTAATTTCATGGAATATCTTGGAGTTTAGAGTATTCCACAGCAATAATTAATGCCTTATGTGTCGCCATCATGATTTTTCATATCCAATACCTTTTTTCCGACTGTTCCACAATCATACCTGTTATAAATACCTGCTCCGTAAAAACTCGACCTTCCCTATTTAGGTTCACACTTTTTCAGAAGAACCGTAATAGCAATGACAGGTTTTTTGTTTATGTGCATTGTGTATTTGCGGCAATTTGGGTGCTAACCGATGCAGAGTTCGAATTTTGAAGTGCCACGTTTTGCGCCCGGCAGGGTATAGTGCAGTGGGCGCATTGGGTTGAAATTAACACCATTTGAATTATGAGCGCCAGTTTGGCGGAAATGCCTTACACCCGGCAACACTGGACTCAAGCAACTAGTAGCAAGAGTCACTGTAACAAGGTAACAAGCATTTTATTCCATGGCCACCTGTGAAAGAAAAACTAAAACACTGAAGTTGTGGTAAGTCAAGAATTGTTAACGTAAGTGTATGTTTAAGTTGATAGTATTGTTCTATAGATGGCGCAGTTAGTATCTGAATTATGAATGAAATTCGACAGAATGCGCAAGTCTAAATTGTGTCTAATATCCCCATATTCCCATCCTTATATCCGAGTTGGCCCCTCGTGGCTCTACGTTTATGAAAACATTATGTTGAGAGAGTGTTCACTAAGATGGCGAAACCTTAGGTTGTTTATTGAAATGGAGTGTAAAAATTTTGTCAATGTCGACTTCAAAAGTGTCGGTAGTCTATTGGTTATATTGGTGTGTCAACAGTTAGTGAATATAAACTTCTGGTAGAGTGAAATAACTTGGGAAAATGCGTGAATTCAAAGTTGTGGTTCTCGGATCGGGTGGGGTTGGGAAAAGTGCTTTGACTGTTCAGTTCGTTTCTGGATGTTTCATGGAAAAATATGATCCGACCATCGAGGATTTCTACCGTAAGGAAATTGAAGTGGACAACTCTCCCTGTGTGTTAGAAATCTTGGACACAGCAGGTACGGAACAGTTCGCCAGCATGCGCGACCTCTACATAAAGAATGGACAAGGGTTTGTCGTAGTGTATAGTTTAACAAATCATCAAACCTTCCAAGATATCCGCCCTATGAAAGAACTCATTACCAGAGTCAAAGGTACCGAAAGGGTTCCCATTTTACTAGTCGCCAATAAAGTAGATTTGGAGCATCAGAGAGAGGTAGACTTCGCGGAAGGAAATAGCCTTTCTCAACAATGGGAATGTCCTTTCATCGAGGCGAGCGCCAAGAACAGAACCAACGTGAACGAGGTTTTTGCAGAAATAGTCCGTGAAATGAACTTTAGTCCCGAAGAGAAAAAGAGACCTTATTGCTGTTGTACCGTACTTTAATATCGGCACTAATTCCATTCCTCTTCATTGAAACAATGTGTCACAACAGCCGACACTAGACTTGCTTTGTGTTACTGTGAACATCTGAACTCATGACTGTCATTTGTTATACCACAGTTTAGCTCCCCAGGACAATTACCTACAATGGATTTTTTTACTGTAAATGCTCATTTCTAGTATACATACTTCAATGGCTTAGAACTGCACAATATCTATATTTTTATACATTGAACAAAATCTTCATGAAAATGCATAACAAATGCATTTTATTTGCTAGTTTTTTGAACTGAATCATATCTACCCTAAGATCTATTGATAGTGCCTGATAGAAACCTGCGACTAAAAACGCATGAATGGTAGGATGGTGGTACTACTTTTGGCCTAAGAAATCTGTTTTAGGAATGGTCAACTTCCAGTCAACTAACACATATTATGGGCCTACCAGTGTATTCGCTATGCGAATATCCAACTATATGGTTTTGTAAATGTGAGCTCATACTGTATATATTTATATTATGTTATAACAACTTTATCAAAGATCTGTGTTTGTAACATAGAAACTTTTTTCAATCAAAAAGTGATGTGTGCTTGATGATGCGTGCTTGTAGAACTAATACATGTTTTTGTAAGTAAAAAATGTTGCCGATAGGATGTGTGTTCTGAGAGCCAAAAACGATTTGTGATATATACGTATTATAATAAAAAAAAATAAGTGGATCATTATTTCATTTCATTTTGGCCTCAAGACTATTATGCAAAATATGTCCCAATAGGTAGGTACAAGTAGGTACACCTACATTCAGGAAGGTACATTTAAATGCAGTACTATTTATTTTTATTTTAAGGATTTTTCATAATCTTTCATCCAATGCTTTTTATCTTATATCTTAATCACCTTATCTGCCTCACCAGTTGTTTTCATCATTTTATGATTTACCTACATCACAGTGAGTGTGTTCAATCATTTCCTTGAATTATTCAACCTGGTTTTCCCGTTCGCAGAAAACTACAGTAATTACCTATATTTTGGTTGATGATTGAGCTAAAATCTAAATGTTATTGTGATTTTGTATTTGCAAATTGTTTAACTTTCCATGTGCCAAAAAATAAAAGTTGTTTGGTGCCGAGATTGGTGCGATAAACACAACACAGGTCCTAGGTCCACTATTCAAAATAACCTCAAGGTCACTACAAAGCACTATACTGCATGACAAAAAAATATCACTCAGGAAAGCACAATTTTCATTTCAATTTCAAATGCTCTAGGGTGTTCTTCATTCAGTACAGTGCGTGCATCTTCGAAATAATAAATAAACTCTTCTTTAGCCAAACTACCTGTCTGGCTATCCTGAGGGCTATCCTATATACATATCCATGTTTCGATAAATTCCACAGGTCGATATTCAATTTCAATTTGCCATATTACGGAAAATAAATTTTTACAAGGCGATGCATATACAGGGTGGCCCTTTGAAAACGAAACAGAGGCTCTGTAGGTCGCCAAAACCGGATCATGAAAAAACTCTGAAACACGTCAACTACATTTTCGAGGGGGACATCGTTCTAAAATATCTTCAGCCCTGCAGCGTTGCCTCTTCTAACGACAACTTTGTTATTACAAATGGAACACCTTGTATTTCATTGCATTTTTAGATTCTCCCCGAAGAGCTGATTGCATCAATGCATCACATCTGGGATCTAGCGGCAATGATTACAGAGCTATAGGGTGTTCAAAATCGATACTTTTCAACTTTAGGATATTTGTTCGATTTACTATTCACTGACATTTATTTGAAACAAATACAGGGTGGTTCAAGATTCAGAATTCTGATCACCCTGTACCTGTTCCAATTAAATTTCAGGAGATAGTATATCAAAAGTTGAGATGGGGACATAAAAACCGCTTTGACCAATAATAAATAGTTTCGACATAAAAAAATGCTAAAGTTGAAAATTCTCGATTTTGAAAACCCTATATCCGAGCCTATATCCCTGAAATCATACCAGCTCGACCCCAAGTGTAATGCATTGATGAAATCAGTACTTCGAGGAGAATCTAAAAATGCAATGAAATACAAGGTGTTCCATTTGAAACTCGATTTGAAATAACGTGGTTGTTGCTTCTTCTCGTTAAAAGCGGCAACGCCGCAGGGCTGAAAATATTTTAGAGCGATATCCCCCTTGAAAATGTAGCTGACGTGTTTCAGATTTTTTTCATAATCCGGTTTTGGCGACCTACTGAGCCTCTGTTTCGTTTTCAAAGGGCCACCCTGTATATTGGGGTAATGACATGATCTTGTTTTTATTTTGAATGCAATACCTACCTTGGCAATAACCGCAATATCCTATATGTATGTACCTATATAAATATCTCACTCGCATTTAAAAACCGTGTAAAAGACAATCCTCTAAGATATTACTTCACACCTATACAGTGTGGAAACTTGTGATGAAATAAAATCAGAATCTCCATAATGAAAATATATTCTGAAAAATCCTTGGACAGGTCGATTTCTATTTTTGGACATCTATATATTTTCACATAAAAATTCAACTCCTATTCCCTTCAAATTTTTGAATCATACAAGTTATACCTTGTTGAAAGTGTATTTAAAATCGCCATGTATTAATGGTATATTATTGTTTCAATTCAGTTGAGCCATATCCACAAGAGAGCATTCGAAAGTTTCAAAATTTATTGAAATTTTTGTCCAAATTATTGGTAATGTTACTGTTTCGTATTGTATAGTGAATGTCCGTCTACGCCTATGTACAACAGTACCTACCATTAGAAATAATTTGAACAAAAATGTCATTTCATTCTAAATCTTTTGACTCCTCTAGCGGATATGGCACAATTCAATTAAAAAAAAAATAGATCTCAGATTAAAAATACTTCTCAACATGGTGTTACTTGACCCTTTGTGGAATTTAGTTTTTTGAAAGGGGGGGGGTTGATCTGTAGGACAGGAGGTTGACAGGTGGTTGAAAAATTTCACGAAAAACAAAAAGATTTCCTAATAAAAAAAAACGACCTGTAAGAGGATTCATTCAAATCATTCCACACTGTTAAATGATTTTTCCTCGAATTTTCCATATAAAATATGGTGAATTTTTATTGGAAATTGAATTGTTCCAGTTTCAGTAATTTCCGTAAACGTGGCTAGTTTGCCTATAGAAATTAATGTATTTACTACGTACGCACTCTGTTAATAAGGTCAATGACACATCTCCAAGTGGACAAGACGTCTGATTCTTGTTCAGAACACCGAAACAGATCGGTGGACACATTGCCGAAAGTCGAGCCGAAAGTGGTCATAATGCCGAGATACGCCGTTGGACAAGACGCCGGAACACGTCATCATTGGTCAAGTCGCCAAACGAGACGCCGAAAGAACGATGGACGTATAAAATGGAATCATGATCATGCATGTTTTATTCGTCCATGGACAGAACTCTTTCGACTCAACGCCGAAACAGCTTACCGGGATGAATATTTACAAATGCTAAAGCGTGTGTTGACACCAGCGTGTTGAAATCATTTAGGGTTTGGACAAACAGTACATTCACAAATGCTAACAGATTTGGACACCAGAAGCGATCAGAGTGTTGAAACCAGTGAGCGTTTGTAGTGTAGTTTGCTCACGATGTTGACACCGGTGTTGAATTTAGCAAAAGCTTGTTGTACCTTTACATAAATGACATCATTATTTTAATAATATTTAATTCCGCAACTTTTAAAACTATTGGAAGGATTTTGTTACAAATTGAGATTACTTCATGTCCCGCAGTTTTGAAGATTTTATAGTTAAACTTGGACAATATTGAATGTTGTCGGTTGCCGTCCGCATTCTTTTCGTTGTTACTGTTTTCGCACATGTGTGTACTCATTGGAATCTATTATGTCATTCTCGATCCTATAGATATGACAAGAATTATCAAGATATTATTTTTTCCTACGCCAATCATTATTTGTTATGTTACACATTAAAACTTCAATTCATTATAAACTATTTAGTATTTAGATGCTGTCACTATACCTTTGTATATTATGTGCAACAAGCTTTTGCGAAATTCAACGCCGCGGTGTCGACATCAGTTAGCATCTGTAATTGTGTGCCCACTACAATTCAATCAAGAACTCTCGCAAGAACTAGTCGAAAGTTTCAAGTGTTTTTTTTCTCGATTTTGTCCTTGTGGCATCTTGTCTCATATTTCGAGGGTAGGTAGTGAGTGGTATATTACCTTCTTGAAAATACTGTTTTTTAATTCCAGCAAAACTGGCAAATTGAATTTCTAAAATATAGGAATTATAGGCACATCGTACGAAAAAGTGCATAATCGTTCTCATTTTTTTAAAATCATTGAAATACATTCTTTATTTATTTATATTTCAAAATCTATTGTGTGATTCGCGGTGTGATAGAAAGGTTGAGCAGTACACAAAAATCAATAGACAAACAGCTTGGTTCCATCAAGTCTTCCAGTTTTTATGAGATAAAGAGATAACCAAGGACACTCTTGCCCCTCCTTTGGAAAATTTGAAAGCGCTAATTGTGCAGAAAATAAATAATTTATTTTCTCCTCACCTGAAAATTCATACAATAACTTCTTTGTCGTGTATTTTAAAAACTATTTACTTGACTCGAGACTTTACTGTCGCAAACCGTTTTCTCCTGAAAGCTCTGTACATTTTTCAAATAACTAGTAAATAACGATATTTCATAACATTTTTACGGCTGAAAACAAAGTATCGTATATCTCAGTACATCCCTTTGCTGCAAGTGAATCCTTGCTATATGTGGGTATAATCTCGATGGACGTTGATGAATGTATTATGTCAGTAGGTATTGGTGCTTCTCGGCGTATCATCATGTCTTCAAGAGCTTCTTCGAGAGGTGGTGTTTTTTACTATTGAAAAAATATATTTGTGATGATTTTAAATAACAAATAACCGAGCAAATAACTGTATATCAAATATACTATTAATACATGAAACGATCAATATAAAATAGGCATGTGGCATAATTTCGATCGTGTACGACCCCATTATGTTTTCGACATCTTTCCCATTATGTTTTCGGCGTTTTTGATGGCTATTTTGATTACATTCTCACTATAATTGAAAATAACAAAACGTGCATATTGAAGCGAACTCTGCAAAAAAACAAGTAGGCGAATGTCAGTAAAAACTGCTTAACCTATTATCATGACTATCACGAGGTTCATCACATACAGTAGGTACGACAACAGCAGTAAATGCGAAGGTTTTGTTGTACATAATAGCTGTTATTTCAATGTTCCTACCACTCAAATATTGCAGTGAACGTATTTACATTGATGACAAAATGGTGAAATAAGCAAGAAAATAAGAGCAGGCAGAGGGCACAGGATCCCAGATCACAGGAATCAGTATAAATCACCAGGAATACCATCCATGTTGTGAAATGTTCGATGCAAAGTAAGTGAATAACAATAGGTATGCATTGCATTATGATGGTTCAATAATTCAATCTTATTCATGGAAATTCGATGTCAGGTTTTATGTTATCGGTAGGTACTTGTGCTTTTGAATGAATTTATTGAGGTAGGTTGTTGTACGTATACCTCTATCCATAGATATAGCTTCTAACTTACTAAAATCGAAGCCGACCGATTTAAAATATTCAAATGATTCAATAATATGTCTTCTAATAG